GACTATGTCCCGCTTGTCCAGCAGCAGGAAAGGCACAATGGCCGCGGCCTGCCACAGCGGGTGCTCGCGGACCAGGAGCGCCTGCAAGCTGCTGCGCAGTTCCTCCTCGGCCCACATCGCCGCAGCCGCAGCCTCGGCACTGTGGGCACCGTGGGCGCCGTCGGGGCGCAGGGGCAGCGCGCGGGACGCGTTCTGCAGCACGAATCGCGTGATGTGCGGGCCACCGGTGCGGCTGAGCAGCACGTAGATGGCGTTGTGGAAGGGGTGCGAGCGCTGTGGCTGCAGGAAGCCATGCAGCTCGTCCAGCAGCGCCGCCGGCATGAGCTCCACCTCGTCCAGCACCAAGAGCGGGGTCTTCTCCTCCGCCTCGGCCCGCGCCACCACGTCGGCCACGCGCTGCGCCAGCTCCTCGCGGCAGTCCTGCGCGGCGCGCGGCTCAGGGCAGTGGTGCTGCGCGTGGTACTGCAGTACGAGCGCGCCGTCCTCAAGCACCGCGCGGAAGTGGCGTGCCAGCAGGCGGCCCACGTGGCTCTTGCCCACACCGCTGGGCCCGTGCAGAGCCAGGAGCAGCGGGCGGCTGTGCACGTGCGTGGCCAGGTAGTCCCGCAGCAGCGCCACGATGCGCCCCACGGCAGCCGGCTGGCCGAACACGGCGCGCTGCAGCGCCTTCTCCAGCCCGTCCAGGTCGTAGCGCTGCGCGTTATCATCTAGGTTCTCGATGGCGTTGAGCACCTGGAAGCCCACGATGGCCACGAGCAACAATAGGCAGCGCTGCGCGCGGCTCCGGTGTTCTGCGCGCGGCCGGCACTTGCGCGAGGTCTCGGGGTAGAGTACCACGCGGCTGCGCCGGCGCCTTTTGCGCGGCGTCCTCGAAGGCGGCTCGGCGGGGTCGTCGAAGGTGAAGAATCTTGGCTGGTCCGGGTTCGCGCGCGGCGCCTGGGGCCCGCAGTCCGGCCCGACGCCCGGCGGGAGGCGCCGCTTGCGCAGCAGGCACACGCGGCGGCGCAGTCGCACCACGGCGCGCACGGGAGCCATCACGCTAGGGCCTGGGGCGCCGGGGGCCACGGCCGCGGTCTCCAGGCTGGTCTGGCCGCGGTCCATGGCGCAGGGGCTGCGCTCGGCATACACGTCGCCCTCCCTGCAACAGGAAGATGGGGAGGGTCCCCAGACTTCCGCACGGCAGACTGAGACCCTTCCCAGGAGTGATCTCACCCCCCTAGGAGGCCCCAGAGTGCAGTCGGAGTTGTGCCACAGCCAGGGCCTTGTCCCGGGCTCGCTGGGCCACAGTCGCCCCTTGACCTGGAAGCGGCTCCCCGCAGGGCCCCAATGCAAATCTCCAGGGTCCTCCCATAAACAGCCGTGGGCCTTGAGGAAGTGGCTAGGGGGAGGTGGGAGGCACAGCTTATCCGGCGGCCGCCCTGGCTTCCTGGAGGAGGAGTCGGGTGCCGGCCAGGCGCCGATTAGGGGTGAAGAGGGGTCAAGGCCGACCCCGCCCCTGCCCGCAGCTCCGACTACCCGGCGCCAGGGGCCCTCAGCGTCCTTAGAGGGGGCCACGGGAAGCAGAGGCAGAGGCCCGAGCACCCCCAGAGCCCGGACGGCCCCCACACACTGAAGAACACTTCGGGGAGAGGGTCTGGCCAGAACTTCTGCTTATGAGAATGGGCCCCAGCCCTGTCCCCAGGCTGAACCCAGACCTCCCAGCCCTCAGCCCCAAATTGGGATCCTCCCAACATCCTCCAGTAAACACACTGATGGAGTGGCGCCAGGGAGCCCCCCAGGGACGGATGGGGGTGGGGTGGAAAGAGGGACAGAAAGATGAGCTGGAGGAGGGACAGCCAAGAGGAGACAGAGCTGGGTAGACGCAGGGCGGCGGCCCTGGCCCCCAACCCACCCCCCCATACCTGCAGCTGAGTGAGATCAGGCTCCTGCCAGCCCCAGCCCCTGGGGCAGCCCCCTGCCCCCACCAGACGCTGGGGCCCCACTCAGGAAGCAGAAAATGCTGGCTTCCTGGTGAGGGTCGAGGTGGGGTCAGGCGCCTGGCTAGGCCAGCCCAGGCTTGGAGGGGCAGCGACACCTGTGGGTCCCCAGGGAGCGTCTGAACAGAGGAAGCTCGGAGAGGTTTCCGCTTCTATGCAAAGGAAGTGAGTCAGGGGTGCGGCGCGGGCGGGACTTAGGCTGGATGGAGGCACCAGATGGGGAGGCGTGGCTGGCTTGCCCAGGTCCCTGGGCCAGCAGGTCACCTACCGTTCTCAGGCCTGCAGCCCTCTGAGCCCTCCTGGCTCTGTCCAGGCTCAGGACGCCTGGTGAGGCTGAGGGCATCCCCTTCCCCAGGGTCCTGGGCCCTTGTGCCTCCGTCTGCCCTCCAAGAACCCCCACCACCCCAGGAACATCTCCTCCTGCATCTGACCACCACAGGGCCCGGGGGGTTCCAGGCTGCCTGTAAGCAAGAAGGGGAGTAGAGCAAGAGGGGGTCCCCTGCCCAGCTGGTGTCCCCCAGTCTCTCCCTATTCTCTTTTTCCCCACCCACCTCTTCCCCTCCCCTGATCCCAGTGTGGATCCCCCAGGCTAGGGCTCATTTCCTTTTCCTCCCCGTCCTCCTCTACCAGGGCCTGGGGCTCTATCACCCCCACCAACCCTTCCCCTGTCCCCAGCCTAGAGCCCCTCCTCCTCTGCCCCCCACCCCGACAGGGCAGCACACGCAGGGACCAAGTTCCAGAACTGGGGAAGGACCCCCACGTGTGGCTCAGGGTCCTGGTGATGGAGCAAATTTAGAAAGAACTTGGGCCAAAAGTTGGCAGATGGGGGCTCTGGAGCCTTCCCTGGCCACCCCCATTCCTACTGTGCACAGAGGGGCCTCCTGGATGGCCCTCCCCTCCTCCCACCTGACCAAGGAGCTGGTCTCTGCCAGGCCCAGCCTGAAAGCCCCTCACCTGTGCCCAGGCCCGTCTCTGGGCCTCCTCAAGAGTGGCTTGTCCACCAGTAATGCCCTCAAGCCACCCTGGCCCTGCCCCCATCTGTGCCCTAAAGGCACGGTGGCAGTCCTGAGTCCCTGGCGCAGGGCCCCACCCTAGAGTCTGTCCTGCCCATGGCCCCCACTCCTCCCAGCCTCCCCACCGCCACCCCTCTGCCCACACAGGTCCCTCCCTCATCAGGGAAATGTTGGTCATGGGCTTGGGCTCCCCTTCTCTCCAGGACACGGGCTCCCACGCCTCCTGGTGACATGTGGGAGCTCCTCTCTGTCCATCTGTCCAGTGCCCTCTGCAGGACAGCTGCACTGAGGGACAGCTGCTTCTCCACGTCCTCCTTTCCAGCCTCAGGGCCTGCTCCCCGGGAACCACTGCCCCTTCTCTGTGCAGGACCGGGTGCTTGGGGGCCCCTTGGGCACCTCACCCACCATATGGCCTGGCGGAGCTGTGAGCCCATGCAGGGCCTTCCTGGGACCAGGCCCTGCCCATCTCTGTGGTTCCGGCACGGGACGGGGGTCCTCAGGGGCCTCGGGCTTTCTCTAGTCTCCAAGCTGCTGCTGCCTTAGGGAGGACCCCCTTGAGGGGCACATACAAGAAAAACTGCAGTGGGGGCAGGACTGTCTCCAGCGGCCAGTTGGCTGCTTCTGCTGGAGGCTGACCCACCACGCCTGGGGTCCAGAGCCCCATTGCTGGGGTGAGGAGGGACGTGGCAGGAGTCAAGAAGATCAGGCCTGGAGGGCCCACCCCCAGGGGTCAAGGGTGAACCTGAGCCCAGGGCTAAGGCCTTGCCTCCATGCACCTTCTCCCCCACCTCCAGGGGTGAAGGGAGCCCTAGGACCCCACCTTTCCCTATGTCCCTGGACCAACCCCATCGCACCCTGTGACCTGATCCGGGAGGCCTCCCTTCCCACCCCTTCTTCCTGTGCACACCCCATGGTCCCGCCCCAGATTCACGGTCATGTCTCCAACCTCTTCTCTGCACAGACCCTTCAGCCCAGTGGGGACTTGGCCTCCCCAGCCGCTGGCTGGAGGCGGGCGGGCGGCCTCGCCTCCTCTTCGTCCCAGATTCCCGGTGTGGACGCTCAGGTCTCACAACACGCCTCCCCCTCTGCCATCCTCCCTGGTTTCCCAGCAGCGTCTGCGTTTGCTCGGGGTCACTGTCACCCCTGCAGCTCTGCCCAGTCCTGCCTTGGGGAGTTCGGCTACCTCAGCTGCTGCCCCCATCCACCGTCCCTCCGTGGACTCCTTGTGGCCAACAGCTGCAGTCCTCACCCCCACCCTGTCCTTGCAGCTCACAGTCTCCGCCAGACAACCCCTCACCCACCGGGGCCTCCAGTCCCCCGAGGCCCCTTTGTCCGGGCTGAGGGGCCTGGTCACACTGACTGGTCTCTGTCTTGACCACGAGCCTCAGGTGGGTCAGGAGGGGCCTGGTCAGCTCACTCGCTCCTCCCATGACTGGGCTCCTTCCCCGTCCTTTCTCCTCGGCCCCACTTGGCCTGTCTTGCCTCCCAGCCCGGGACCTGGCCCTCTGCTTCCTGGAGAAAATGGAAGCAGCCGGAAGGGGACCCCCCCAGTGTCTGCACCCACAGACCTGCCTCCCCTCTGAGAACCCCTGCTCCCAAGAGGGCCCCCCGTGCCCTGGCCCTGCCCCTCTGGCACGCTGGGCAGCAGCCCAGCAGCCCCCCCCATCTGCTTTTCACTCACTGCGTCATTCCCATCAGTGCACAGTGGGTGTCTCCTGTCCCTCCCACACCTGCAGAGCTGCACCTGTCAAGGTCACGGTGACCTTGCAGCTGTCACCACTGGTGGTGGGCAGTAAGGCGGCCCACCCAGAGCTGACTGCAGTCAGTCTCGGGGCCTCTGGCAGCCTGGACAGAGCATGGCCACACCCAGGCCTTACCTCCTGCACCTGCTGCCCGGGAGGGCCGAACACCCAGACTGTGTCCCACAAAGACAAAAATGCCCCCAAGAAGGCACCTCCCCACCCTGCACTGAGCCAACTTTGGGGGCACACACAGACAGCTCACTCACTGATTTACCAAAACGCCTTTTATTTACATGAGTAAAAGCCTCTTGTGTGCAACAGCAGTCCCTCACCTGGCCAAGATGCTGCAGCTGAGCAAGGAGCACGTGGCTCCCAGGGTAAACTGAGGCAGCAGGCGGGGGCCTGGGCTTTCCTAGCTATGCCTGCTACACAGGTGCTGCTGCCCAGGGGAGGAGCGGCTCCCCACCTGTGGTTGGGTCAGCGGACCGTCCACCGACAAACTGCAGGAGCTCCTGGGAGATGTCCGGACCCAGCAAACCGTGGAATTTAGCCGATCAGTCGGTGCCAACACGCTGGCCCTGCCCCTTTCCCCTCAGGCCTCGGCCCCCTGCCCTCTCCCCTTAGAAAACAGCTGGCTTATTCCTAATCCCAACCACTGCCTGCCTGTCTCCCCACAGTGTGGAAACCCACAGTGTCAGGCAGGAACAAGCAAACTTCCCAGGGCCTGGGAGTGCAAGGGGCCATGCTGGGCCCTGCAGACCTGGAGCAGGGCCTGAGCTCCTCGGAGCTGACCAGGGGCCCTCAAGGGGCAGGGACACAGGTCCCATTCACGCAAACAGCACACACCTCCCAGGACGCCATTCAGGGCAGGGCTAAGGTGCAGAGGAAGGGCACTCTGCCCACAGGACAGTCCCGGGGGTCTTGGCTTAGCCCACCCCCAGCCCCATGAGTGGCCAGTCAGCCTCCAGAGGAAACGGGGCCCTGGCTTCGCAGGTCCAGGGGAGCCTCTTCTCCTGGCAACCAGGGCTACCGTCCCCACCAGGGGCCCTGTCCACTCCCCAGGGGCCCCAGGCAAAGCCTCAGAGCCCAGCCGGGGCAGGCACGGTGGGCAGGGGCAGCTCCAGGGCCGGCGTCTCTGCAGTCTGGGCCGGGCTGGGCTTCTGATGGTCCAGCTGCTCCAGCTTCTCACCGAGCTGGGAGTACAGCTCCTTCACCGCTTCTCCACTCTGTTAGGAGGCACACACTTCAGGGTCAGCCCAGGGCTCCTCAGAGCATGTCCACACAGACAACGCACAGACGTGGAGAGGATCAGGGGTGTTGGGGCACCCACCTGGCCCGTGGGCTCCAGTGCCTTTTGCAGGGCCTGCAGCTTGGATGGCGCCACGCGGTGGTGCAGGTGGACTAGGAGCCGCAGCACGTGCCGCTGAACGTTCTCCTTCCTGGAAGAGGCCACGACCAGGCTGCAGGGGCCCCGAGCCACCCTCCCCGCAGCTGCTCCAGCAACCCCCCCCCCGGCCCGGCTGGGTGGACAGGCACCTCGGGGAGGCAGTGAGCAGGAAGCCATCAAAGAGGCTGCTGCAGAAGTCCTCCAGGGCGAACTCATCAGCCAGCAGCGCCAGGTTCCCCGTCAGCAGGTGGAGGAAGATGTCGCCGAACGCCAGGTCGCCAAAGGTCTCCACTGCAGGCAGAGCAGGCGTTGGTGGTCCAGCCCGCCACCCACGGCCCTCGCCCAGGGGCCCTCTGCCCCCCAGACCTCAAATTGTGGGGAGACCACAAAGCAGCACAGACTTCTGAAAACAGGGTGCCCAGTTTCCCTGAGAGCCAGAACCTGGGCCTGGACAGGCGAGGAGACACCAGGGGCGGCCAGGGACAGGGCAGGGGTCTGGCCTGCAGTGAAGGAGGCTACTGGGGAGGGCTGGCGGGGAAGAACGAGGGCCCGTCACTGCTTATCACTCTGCCCGGTGACCAAGGGACTGTGGGTTAAGCGGACTCCAGAAGAGCGAGAACACCTAACACACAACAGTAAGTCCCAACGAAGCTCACTGATGACCAGCGACAGGATGGCCTGAGTGCCCCGCCAGCAGGAGTGAAGAGCCAGCCGGAGGGTGGCAGGGCAGGGGGACGCACACCCAGACATAATGGCTGTGGAGGCTGCTACAGAGACACTGACAGGGCACTTTGTCACAACGACCTGGCTGACACCACCTGAGCCCACAGAGCTACTCAATGTCACCGGGAGACGCAGGCACCACTGGATGCACCAAGGTGCACTCCTGCCCCACATCTGCCTGGAGGCTCAGCCGGCCTCACGGCCAGCAGCCAGTTTACAGGACACATGGGCAGGCGCCCAGTCACGATGCTAGGGAGGCCGCCAGCAAAGTCTCGACCAGGGAAAAATGCCCTGGTTCTCCCAACAAGTTCCACATAACCCTACACACTGAGAGACCTGAGGGGCGGCGAGGGAACGCCAGGGTGAATCGCAGCCCCTGCTCAAATCCTGACCTGAACAAACCATCTGTACAAAATGTCATGGGATGATCAGGGAACGGGGCCACTGCAGGGCCTGGACCCAAAGGCAACCACGGGCTGCAGGCACGGTGTTTAAGAGTGTCCTTTGTTGAGACACCCGCTCTTTATTCAGAGCTGGCATGCTGGGAGTCTGGATTTCCATCCAGACCATCACCAGAGGACGTGACCGTGGAGGTGGGTGACAGGCACTGGGCTTCGCCATGCTGTGCTCTGCTCTTCTTTTTTTGGGGGGAGGGGGGAAGATTAGCCCTGAGCTAACATGTGCTGCCAATCCTCTTTTTGCTGAGGAAGACCAGCCATGAGCTAACATCCGTGCCATCTTCCTCTACTTTATACGCCTACCACAGCATGGCCTGACAAGCAGTGCCATGTCCGCACCCAGGATCTGAACCAGCGAACCCCAGGCTGCCAAAGCGGAATGTGCGCATTTACCCGCTGTGCCACTGGGCTGGCCCCTCTGCTCTCATCAAAAATTCCCACAACAGAAAGTTAAAAAGTAAACGGGAGAATTTAAAAATCAACGCCGCTCTTATTAGGACCTACTAAGAACATAAAAGAACATGTGCACACTTCCTGGACGCAATCACAAGATCCCAGCCCCCAGGCAGCAGCGCACGGCTGGACACACAGATGCTCCCACTGCAGGCAGGATACCCCATTTCTAGCCGACACAATTAGAGAGAAAGAAACAAAAGTACTGAAAGGAACAGAAAGGATGCAGCAAGTTCAAGCTTTTTATAACTGTGTTCCTAGAAGTCTCCAAAAACAGACAGACAAGCTACATCCCCTGTGGATGGCAGAAGGACGGCCCTGAGAGACGTCCACATCCCGACCGAGGAGCCTGTGGACATGCCTTCTTATGTGGTGACAGGCCCTGAGATGGGAGATGATCCTGTGTGACCCAGGGGCCAAGATTATCACAGGGTCCTTACGGGAGGGAGGTGGGAGGGCCAGAGTCAGAGAGACATGCAGACAGGAAGCTGGGAGGACAAAGTTGAGGATGGAGGGGGCCAGGAGGCAAGGATGTGGGCGGCTCCCAGAAGCAGGAGGACACAAGGAAAGGGACTCTCCCTGGAGTCTCCAAGCCCTGCCCATACCTTGACTGCAGCCCCAGACTCACTTCACTCCTGACCTCCAGAACTGTCAGAGAGGACCTTTCTGTTGTTGGGCTAGACGGTGGCTGGGTATAAACTAATACCCACAAAAGACGTAACACACGCCCCACCACCAGGTGTGACAGCGACCCAGAAACACGCTTAGTGAGCAATGTGCAAAATCTTTACATAGAAGCCTCAACACCCAGACAAAACCTGAGGCAGCAGAGACCCTGGGCCAGTGTGTGCGGTGGGAAGGCCAGGTGCTCCAAGAAGCCCCTCCTCCCTGACTTGACCTGCAGTTTACTCTTGAAAGGGGTCCACTCAGACCCCTCCCTCTTCTTCCTGGCTTGCAGCAACCCACTCCTACATGCAGCCAGAAGATCCTGAGGGAAGTGGCCTCTTCACTGCCTTGGAGGGGAGCTCTCTCAATCATCTGAAGACTTGAGGGGCCCACACCCCTCGCCAGTTAGGGTAAAATTAAGGTGGCTCTTCTGCCACTCAGGAAAGGATGCTTTAACAAATGGTGAGAAGAGGGAAGGGCACTTATGGAAAGACAAAGCTGAGCTCCCCTCACTTCTGCACCAAATAACCTCCAAGCAGACAGACTTGACGGTGAACCAAGCGAGCCTGTGGAGGCAGGCAGCGGGACGGAGGGCAGGGGCGACGCGGGCACCCCAGACTCACCCAGCCCGGGCAGCAGGCGCAGCAGCGCGTTCTTGTTCCTCTGCTTAGTGATGTGCAGCACGTAGTACAGCCCCACCTCGCAGGCCATGCGCTGCTCCTGCAGGAACCTACGCCCGGCCGGGGCCATCAGCCCACGGGGCGCGTCCACACAGCCTCCAGGGGACCCGCGGGCTCGGGGCCCCTCCCACCATGGCCCTCAAGCCCGTACTTGGTGAAACTCTCCGGCAGCGTGTTCGGGTACGTGACGGGGGCTTTCTCCTCGGCTGGCAGCTTCTGGTCGACGTTGAAGGTGTGGTCGTCCACCACGAAGGACATGAGCGTGGGCAGGAACCTGGTGATGAGCTCCACCTCCTGGGGCAGGACAGGCCTGAGAGCTCGTCCAGCACGTCCTGCCTTCGTCCCGCACTGTCCCCACCCTCAGCCACCTCCCTCAAGTCCCTCTTTCCTGGATGTCGGTGGGGGGCCGTCCCTCCTTCCCACCTCCCGAGACTCCACCTTCCCAATCCTCCTCAGCCCCACAGCCCCTCAGGGGCAGCGGCAGGAAGGCGCACAGCCGGGTGAGTTACCATCTTGGGCTCCTTGAACACCTGGCTGTCGATCATGTCCCATGCCCCCTGGCCCAGCGCCAGCAGCCTGAGCAGCAGCAAGAGGTCGGGGCTGTCCTGCAGGGAAACCAAGGCCTCAGCACAAGCTCACCTGACCTTCACTGTCCCAACCTCGATCACTGCCCAGCAGGGTCCGGGCACTGAGCCCAGGACTGTCGGCTTTGCTCACAGGTCCCCACACCTCCACCCGTGTGTGGGGAGCGTGTGCTGTCCCCGGGCCAGCATAGGCCTGGCCACAGCACTCCAGCCACACGCCCACCCAGAAGGCAGCGAGCCGCCAGCCAAGCGCACTCACCCTGGGCAGCGTCTCCTGGCCGACCAGTTCCTGCAGGTGCCTAACGGTGCTCAGCGACAGGGTGTTGATGGCAAAGGGGTCACACAGAATCATGGACAGATCCCTGAGAGGACAATCCCAGGGTATCAGCATGGGATGCTCTCAACCCACCAAGGCGTGGCCACGGGCTGGGCTGCCTCAGCCACTGACCAGGGGAGATGGCCCCTCCACACGGAGCAAGCCCATGCCATCCTGGACTTCTTCCAAAGAAAAGCTCACAGTTTGTAACTTGCCTGTAACTTACTTAAGAAACTGAAGAATTAAGGTTTTTAAAAAACGAAGGTCCCATTTTGGTTCTGAGAACCTGACCCAGACCACGTAAATTCAGCCACAGTCCCACAAAGGCAACTACAGGGAGAAGGAGCCATGGAAGGGGGCGAGATGGAGCCCACGCAGAGAGGACAAGGCTGGGAACCAGATCCCACCACCTCCGGGCACAGTGGGCCCAGGATGGGACTTACCACCCACCGCTCAGCTCGCAGGAGGGCCCAGGCTGCGGCAGACACCAGAGCCCCGGCCTGGCGCCCACTTGCCCAGACTGCGGCAGCCTCATCCCAAGCAGCCGAGTTTCTCAGCTGTGGGGGGTGCCAGGCAGCCCTCCTGAAATGGACTGGAATAAACACCCCACTCCCAACCAGACAGCGTCTCGTCCAGACGCCCGTGGTCAGGACCCCGGGGGGCTGGGGCGCCTGCACAAGGCCAACTCTTACCCCAGGACTTGCTCCTGACCCTTCTTTACTCCGTCGAGAAACCCCTGCAGCTCCCGGGCCCTCTTGCTGTCCACAAACCGCTCGCGGATGCAGGCGTCCAGGCACCAGGTGAACTGCAGAAGGAAGCCCAGTCAGGACGCAGCGCTCACCCTCGCCTCTTGCTGGGGCACAGCCGCGCCCAAGCCAGAGGTAAGCATCAGGACCCGCCACCCGCATCACGGGGGCTGGGCTTGGTGCCAAGAACAGGATGGTGCAAAGGTGCGCAGGTCCAAGGGCCCGAGTCCCAAGGGGTCAGGCAGTGTGTGGAGGAGGCAACATTTGAGTTTTGCTCTAAAAGGGGCCTCCCTGGTGGCCCTTGGGTGGGGGAGGACGCTGCAGTCTCAGGCAGTGACACTGCCTCAGGTTGCACAGCATCCGTGCTGAGGACAAGGGCAGTGTAGAAAGCTGTTCCTGGAGCACAGAGCTCGCCAACGAGCAGCCCCCGAAGGCTCTGGAGCAGGGGACGGCCAGAGAACCTGGGAAGACCGAAGGCGGCAGGAGCAAGGGTCCAGGAGCGGCCAGGGAGCCTGCTCTGGCTGGAGTTAAGGAAGAGAGAGAGTGGGCGAGTGAGGGAGGTGCCGGAGGACACCCCGTCCCCTAGGCAGTCAGCAGAGGGGGCAGCACACAGGAGGTGGCCCGGTGGGCAGGCAGTCAGAGCCCAGGGACCAGGATCATCGCATCCAAGGGGAGGGGAGAGAGAAGGCAAGGAAGAGACCAGAGTGAAGGGGGGCGGGGGCCACCACCTTGTGGCAGGGGTCCACGGAGCAGATGTCGCCAACATCCAGGTCGTGCAAGGACATGAGCAGCTCGGCACGCAGCGTGCAGTAGTGCACGTTCCGCGTCCGCAGGAAGAGGGTCCGTAAGAACTGCAGCACCATGTCGTACAGCTTGACGTTCTTCCCCACCATCTGCGTCAGCTTCTGCACCACCTGGTTGGCGAGAGCCCCACGGCACGGCATCACCAAGCCCCAGTGACAGCACACTGACCCTGACGTTCATCCTCTCTACTTGTTTGGTGGCCAAAATCTCCTCTCTCACAGAATGCTGGCTCCATGTCAGGCGGCGGCAGGTGTGGTTTTTAAGAAAGTGAACCCCACGTCAGGCCCCACACCTTCTCTGAAAGGCCATCAGCCTGTGACCCGGTGAGCCAGCGCGAGGAGACTCAGGCTAGATGACGACACACAGCGGCTACCTCAGCGTCTGGTCAAGGCCTTGCTGGGGTCCACTCAGACCCAGCCCGGGCCGCCTGGCTCCCCATCTTCTCCTGCAGCTTGAGGCCTTGAGACCACCCCATCCCCCTATAGCACCTGCAGGTGCCCCTCTGCAGGGACCGCCCAGCTCCACAGCCTGCCCTACGTGCATGGCTCTTGCCTTGCTGTCAGCCAGTGGGAGAGCTCTACTCACTGCTCACCGGCCGGAATAGAAGAAGGGCTCACAGGTCAACCTGGGGTACAAGCACCGCAGCAGCCCAGGTACTAAGCTGGACACAGCAGGTGGAGAGGCCAGGAGGGGTGGCAGGAGCAGTGACCAGCCTGACAGACCCTCTCGAGGGCCCCTGCGAGGACTCTACAGCAGGCCTCAGGGACCCCAACGAGCTGAGCAGAGCGAGGCATACACCTGTCTCAGCACCCACATCCTGGGCACAACGGCTAACATGTACCAGCCCTGATGATGGTCTGGGCCCTGCCTAACATGCAAACAAGAGGGTACAAGGCCAGCTGAGCATACAACCACGGCCCTATCAACTGACCCACACACTGAGGACCATGAGATAACACGTTAACCTGCCTCGACCTTCTCCTCGGGCAGCAGTGCAGGCCACACCTGCAGCAGGAAGGACCCAGGCCCCGAGGGGGACCCTGGCTTGGAAGGCAGTGTGAAGGGGTAGCAGGCCACAGGCTGACTGCAGCCCCAGGCCAGGCTCCCCACAGTGGGCAGGAACGTGAAGAGGTAGCGTCTGGCCACCATGGAGGCTTGGTTTCACCTGCAGGCAGGTGCCACCGACGCCTCGGACCTGGTTCCAGGAGGGAGTGCTCAATCCAGGGGAAGGTGACAGTGACAAGTACCAGACACTGGCCAAGGGGCGTCTGGTGTTGAGTTCTTCCACGTCCAGTGTGCTCTCCTGAGGTTTCGCATGTCTGGTGTGACCTAGGATCTAATCTAATGTTTTTTCCCAAATGTCTGGCCACCGGTCGCAGCCCCACTTGCTGAGTGGGCTACAAGTGTGTCTCCTGGCCCAAGAGAAGTCTGTCAGGGAGCCGGCCTCACTGCCCAGGGGTTAAGTTTGGCGCCTCCGCCTCAGTGGCTCAGGTTCAGTTCCTGGGCATAGACCTATACCACTTGTCCGTCCGCGGCCATGCTGTGGCGGCATCCACATACAAAACAGAGAACTGGCACAGATGTCAGCTCAGAAACCATCTTCCTCAAGCAAAAAGAGAAAGGCTGATGACAGATGTTAGCTCAGTACAAATCTTCCTTAGCACACACACACAAAAAGTTTCTCAGACAAAGTTTGACACACAAGTCAAACATCAAAACAGAAGAAACTTAACCAGAGTTGAAAAAAGACTGGAAAACTTAAATGCAAAAGCTTGTCACGTCCTCAAGCGCCAAGCTCACAAAACCAAGAAGATGCACGCCAGGCAAAGTGCTGCAAGGGCCCCTCTCGCCAGCCACGTGTACAAGCCCACCCTTTCGGGAGCAAAACCTCCCAGACATCCACCATGGGGGAAGGGGCTGGCCAGGGCCTGGCACATAGCCCTGCCTTGTGCCTCACCTCACCCTGGCGCCTCGTCTTGGGGGAAGGACTGAAGAAGTTGTGCAGGACAGAGAGCTCCGTGCTGAAGAGCGCACTCTCCTTCTCCAGGATGTACTGCTTGAGCAGGGGGGAGACCTCGTCGCCGAAGAGTGCCTGGTTGTCCTGCCAGATCTGCCGCTTCACCTCCACAGCGCAGGCCCGGTACAGCTCCTTGTCGGCCATCACCAGCTTCAGCTTCTTCTCAGGAACCTGCTCGACCCCACAGGCTGCCCATGAGCAATGCCTGTGCCCCGGGGTCTCCCTCAAGACAGGTCAAGAGGCCTCAGCCCCCCACTGGAGACCACCTCGAGTCCAGCCTGATCCAGGGGGGGGCCTGTGATGGCCCCCAGGCTCCAGTAGGTACTGGCAGCCCTGCTGAACACAAACAGCTCTTTCCTTAAAAAACCCCATACCCCAGCTCACGTCCGGCGCTTGCCTGTGCATAGCTCACCAGGGGGACCAGGCACAGAGAATGCTCCTCGCAGCCGCACCTACCTTGTGCTAAACCGGCGCCAGACAGGCGCACATGCAAAGCCCACCGAGCCAGGGCACGGTGCGGCCAGAGCCCTGGACACGCTGACCCCACGGCCTTTACCTTGGGCAGGTGTTTCATGACGCACATCACCACCGGCTGCAGGGACGGCATCTTCACCAGAGAGAAGCTCTTCTCCAGGAGGTCTTCCAATTTCTTGTACCTGGAAAGACTCGCACGACTAAGGGGGAGCCCAGGATCGAGCAAGAAGCAGCTGCCACCTGTCACCACAGAGACGACGGCTGGGGAGCCGCTGTGCACACGCGGACGCGGGGAGCGGCCCCCGGTCGAGGAGGGCCGGCCGGCCGAGGCGGCAGCCAGCGCTGCGCAGGCGGCCGCTCGCCGCGCCTGCCCACCCACCTCTCCTCCGCCTTCCCCTCCGAGGCGATGGCCGACACGCGCTCCAGCAGCTTGTCCCGCAGCTCGTCGAACACCGACTGGTGGAACTCGAGGCGCGGCGTGCCGTGCAGGTCCAGGAAAGGCAGGGCCGACTGCAGCGAGGGCAGCAGCACGCCGTTCTCCGTCTGCGGGGCGAGGGCGCGCGGTCGGTGGCGCTCACTCCGGGGCGCCGACCGAGCCCGCGCGCCCTCCGGGACGGCCGCGCCCCCGCCCACCTGGAACTGCTCGATGGCCTTGAGCGGCTCCGTGCAGTTGGTCAGCGTCTCCTTCAGGTCCTCGCCGTTGGCCACGCCCAGGTCCTGCAGCCCCGCGAACATGGCCGAGGCCCCGGCCGCCGCCCGGCTCGGCGCCCCATCCCCACCGCGCTCCCCCGGCGCCGCCGCGGGCCCCCCAGCAGCCCGTTCGCCCGGGCCTCGGGGGCCGCCCGCGCTCCGCTCCCCGGCGCCCTCCAGCTCGGCCCGTCCCGCCCGCGCGGCTGCCCTCGGACCGCGGCGGCCCACTTCCGCCCCGCACAGCCTGGTCCGCCCGCCAAACCGCCCCCCGGAAACGCCAGCGCCGCGGCGCAGATGTTCCGGGCAGCGGAGCCCGGCCCAGGACCAGGCTGCGCGGCCGTGGGAGACGGCGGTGCCCGGATGACGCAGCGAGGCCCCGCCCCCGCGCCGGCCATGCCCACCTCGGCGGCCCCGCCCCGCCGCTCCTCCCGCACCTGGGCCGCTGGTCTTCCCGCCGCCCCGTCGCTCGCCCCAGGCTGCTGGCTCCGCCCAGCCCCGGTTCGCCGTCCGCCCCGCGGCGCCCGCCGCCTCTGGCCTCTTCTTCCTCTCGGGGTCCCAGAAGAACCCACGCCCCGGGGCGGGGTGCCGAGGGGCACCCGGGGGAGGGGCCCACGGGAATGGGACGCCGGAGAAGGGGGAGGAGCACGGGAGAGGGGATGAGGCAGGCAGGGTCGGCCTGCTTTATGAATTTCAGAACTGATTTTTTTGCCAAGTATGTGTTATCTTTATAATCATGAAAAGTGATTCATTTTTTACCTCACAGCAGCCTTTTGACGTTGAGAATATTTTTGCTTGAGGAAATGGGACGCTGCCGCCCTAGAAGCTCCCTGCACGGGGTCCCACCAGGTGCACGACCCTCTCCCTGGAACTTGGCTTCCTCCTTGTCAAACGGGGACTGGGGACGGAGTTCACACCATAGGGTTGTCGCAGAGACTAAAATCTGAGTGTGCCTCCAATGGAGGGTGCCTCGCAGAGACTTGGGTGCACAGAGGGAGTGTGACAAAGGACAGCTGTCCTCTTGTTGCCGTGAGCATCTAACCCCTAGGCTGACCCACGGAGGTAGGCCCTCAGGCTGAGTTCCAGCCTGATTCGCTGCGAATGTGAGTGCCAGTTTCCATAGTGTCCCTTGTCCCTTGTGGTACAAGAAGCTCAGACGGGGCCGGTAGGCACTGCCTGCTCTGTGCCCTTCCTAGGCTCCCCATTGCTAAGTGTGCAAGCCCTGGACCCAGAATTCCACCTCTCCACCTCTCTGCAACCTCTCCACCCCTCTAGCTCACCTCCTTCGATCCCCCCAGCCCCGTGTCCTCCAAAGCTTGGCAGCACCAGGTGTCACACCCTCTCCCTTTTTATGTGCCTTGGCTTATGGGGTTTGCTCTGCTAGAAACTCTCTTCCTGCTGCATGGCACACTCTTGCCCATCGAAAGCCCATTCCTCCACCACCTCCTCCAGGAAGACCTCCCTCAGCCCAGCTGGAGGGGATTTCTCCATCCTTCCTGCTGGTTCCAGTCCTGGCTTTGAGCCCTAGGGGTTGCTGATAGTGCAGCTGTGAGCAGGGCTCCTGGTCTCCCCACCCTGGGCCAAGCTCCCAAGGCCGGGGCTCCCACCGCTCTGTCTCTGCTGCCCACTTGCCAAGCTGGGCCACCCAGGGCCTAGCAATGACCATCTGCAGTCTGACTGCCCTGATTCCTGGGGGCACTGGGGCACAACCCCCAGCAGGTTCAGCTCTAGAGGAGGTCACAGGTGCATGGTGCTCAGACTCCCTGGGCCTTGGCCTCCCTGCAGAAGGGGGAGCTGACGCCATGGGGGCAGCTGTTGCTGTGCCCTTTTGAAGGCATGAGCTCTGGCAGAGGAGTTGGAGGAGGGGCCTAGTCAGGACTGGACTTCTATCACTAGTGCAGTGACAGGAGCCACCAGCAGCTGGGCTGAGGCCCCTTCAGGGAGGTAGTCTTGGGGCCAACCCCTGGGTAGGAGGGCAGGCTGATGGTGAAGTGGGGTCCAATGGCCAGGCTACTGCCACAGGCAGGGACAGGGCCCCAGTGACTGAAGAAGGCCCAGGGAGTCTACTATATGTGGCCCGGCCTTAGTGGCCTTGGGTAAGTTCAAAGGGTCTTTGGGCAGGTGCTGGGGGCAGTAGGCCAGGCCTTGACAAGCTGGTCCTCTGGACACTCCCTGGTGGCTGTGCAGGCTGCCCTCACCTCAAGATGACAGATCAGCGAGTCTGGCCCCCACCACCGCCCCAACAGTCAGTTCTTTGTCTCAGCAAGAAGCCTGACCCTTGGGTAGACTGACAGGTGGACTGGTCCCCTGGATGGCACAGCTAGTTGGAGGTGTCCCACAGTGCCCACAGGGCCCCCTCCCATCCTGTCCTGGGCCAGGAAGTCCCAGGCTACCGCCCTACACACCTTAAAGAAGAGAGCACTGAAGGGGAAGTGAAGGGAGAGCCCTGGTCAAGGCAAGCCAGACATGACAGGTCAGCAGCAGACCACATCTGCAGGATGCTTCACTGGGTAAAGGACGGCAGCCAGGCACATGAAAGAATTTGGAAGAACCAACAGCATCTCTGTATAGCAAGGGGTGGACAGGTGGGGACTTCAGGCTGGGCTGTCCTCATCCACAGCTCACAGAAGGGTCTGCCGGCCAGCATGGTGGATCAGGGTGCCCAGGGGGGTCAGAAAGCCAGACTGTGGGGTGCTGAGTTTCAGAGGGAGGCCTGGGAAGGCCCCCAGGGAAGCCAGGCTTCCATGTGATAACCAGGTGGGCCGGCTGTGCCCAGTGGACTCTAGAGTGTGCAGAAGGGGCCAGTGTCATGACGCTTGGGTCTTCGCACGCCCTGGATGACCGCTCTGGGCGCTGAGGGGAAGCGCGAGTTATAGCAATCCTCCACATAGTAGGCAGCTGGGCTGGGGGTGCAGGCTGCAGAAAGAGAAGGCCCCATGCCACTACAGCGCGCCAGCGGCTGCCCAGCTCCCACCTCCCCCAAGGCCCCTGTCCCCACCCGGGAGCCTGCCTGGCCTTCCTCTCTGAGGCCTCCTTACAGGAGCTGATCCAGGAGGCAAACGCAGGTGAGTGGCTCATGGTGCACATGGGTGCGCGTGGGCTCTGCAGTCGGCACCCGGGAACGATGTCGTAGGTGTTGGGGCCAGGGCGCTTCTTACCACCTGGGGCCTGCAGGGAGGCCTGGAAGAGGGACTGCGCATGGTGACGGTGATGTGCACCCCCTACCCGTGGCAGCCCGGGCTGGATGCGGGCCTCAGGTGTCTTGGAAGCGGGGCGGTGGCCTCCAAAACTGCAGGCCGGGAAGGCAGACTGGCTGAGCGGCTGGTAGTTGGCAGGTGATGGCCACTGTGGGGGAGGAGGCTGCTGCAGGCCACTGCCCCACCCAGCCCCCCTACCCCCAACAGGCCCCCTCCCGCCCTGTCCCTCAGAGGGCCCCACGGGACCTGCAGGCAAACCCCGCACCTTCTGTTCTCTGTTAAAGTCCGTTTTCTGCATGAAGGGGGTTTCACTCTGGAACCACATGGTCTGCCATGCCCTGCGGCCACCACCCTCTGCAGTGGGGGGCAGTGTTGGGGAGGGGAGATGAGTGATGGGCCCGCTCCCAGGGCAAGGGGCCAGGCGGTGGGGAGAGCACAGGGAAGGGCACGCACCACGGCAGGGGTGCTTGCGGCCGATGCTGAAGTGGGGATGTGGGGAGGACTCGCGCACTGAGGCATCCGGCACCTGGTACTTGGTGGGGCCAGGGACATCCAGGTCCGTCACGATGGGGGGTCGCTGCTCCAGCACTGGCGGGAAGCAAGCTCTGGGCCTGGGTCCTCCCAGCAGGCCCCTCCCCAACCCTGCCCCTCTTGCCAAGACCAGCCGGCGTGAGGTGTAGCCAGGCCCCTCACTCACACAGCTCCCTCAGGTTCTGGGTGCACATAAGTGGGGGCTTCTGAAGGGCGTCCGTTTGCATCCTGAGGCCAGCCGGGAACTCTTGCACCCCTGGGGGCCACATCTCATCCCAGGCAGCCCCTGGCTCTGGCCTCCAGAACAGCACAGCACCATTGGGCCTGCAAGGGAGACGGACAGCCACTGTCCACCTAGCCCAATGGCCGCCCCATAAAGGCTGCACACTGCGCCCCCCCCAGCCCACCCACTCCTCTTAGAAGTTACTGGGTGGGCACAGGCAGCTTCTGCCTCAGGGGGCCACGGGTCCAGTGTTTGCCTCCATTGATGTAAAAATTTGCCAGGAATTTTACGGCCTTCTGGTCAAAATTCATTGTCAGGATTCCTAGTTCCCTTCCCTGGGGACACCACAGGGCTCTGTGACCTCACTGACCGGTCATGGACTCCCCTCCCCCCCGTTGCCAGGGACTGCATGGTGAAGGAACATTGTCCAGCCCTGGAGGGGGTGGTGCAGTGGGAACCCAGAGGGGCCCCTCCCCTGACCTGCCAGGTGGGTCACCCTGGGGTCAGCCTTGGCCAAGAGGCCCCCTAGCCTGCCCAGTGACTGCTGGCTTGGCCTCTTTTCCTCTCTTCCCCTCTTCCTTGTCACAGTCCTCCCCTTCTGGTGGACTTTGGGGTACCCTGGAGGACCAGGGTCCACTGTAGCAGGGCTTCTGAGAGGGCTGAGGTCCCGGCAGAAGGTAGAGAAGGGAGCTGGTGCAATGGGATGTCCAGCTGTGTGAGGCCAGCAGGAAGGATGCGTGGGGGTAGGGTGGGGGGTCCAGGCAGGCTCCCTGGAGGAGGAGGAGCCCCCGCTGGAGACCCAGCTCTGAGAAGTGCAAAGCAACGGTGGGTGGGTCTGGACCACGACCCCAGAGGCAGCCCTGGCCGTGGAGCTGCCTGGTGGCCCAGGCAGGGCTGAGGTGTGTGGGCTTGTCTTCTGTTTGGGGGCACAGAGGCAAGAAGGTGTCACAGACAGACACGGCTGTCCAGGTGAAACGCAAAGGAATAATGAGCCCGAGTGGGCGAGAGCCCGTCTGGGCACCAGGGCCCTCACAGTGCCCTCCAGAGCTGACCTGTGGGCCAGCCCCAGCCCTGGCCTTGGCCTAATTGACCCAGGCAGGGCCCGGTCAAGAACATCTCATCCTTGGGCCTTCCCCTCCCTGACAAGGTCTCTTCCTCTCCTCATCCCTTCCACCCAGCTCTGACCTTGCCTGGCCTCGGGAGGTGCTCCAGATGGACTGAGGGTTGGACAGACAGACGGAGCATTGCTTGAAGAGACACATTTTATTAGGGCAAAGGGCTCACAACCTGTGCTCCAGGGCCTTCCCGTGTTACAGTGTTCTCTGAGGGCATAATTGACAGTGGCTGCAGAGGTGGTTTTATTTACAAAGCCCTTGTATTGGACATTTAGGTTAGTTCCATTTCTCCCTGTAGCAAATATTGCACGTGTCTTCAACCAAACGTCAATCGTTTCCTTAGGATAGAGTCCTACCAGTGGAGGCAATGGGTCAAAGAATGTAAGGTCTTGTAGACTTGATCTGCATTCGCAACTTGTGCTCCAGATGGCGTCTATCAAATGAGAGTGGACGTGGCGCATGTGAGCCCAGTGGCGGTGAGCGCCAAAACCGCCTGACCAGCGTTTTGTCAACACTTACCTGATTCAGGTCCAACCTCTGTCCATGTGTTCACTGACTGGGTTTTTAAGATGTTCACAGTGTGTATATGTTTTCCTGCTGGGGTGTGTGTTTTGTTCTGTAGAGTTTCTTATACTGATATCATATCTGTTCGTAACACTTGTTGCACACTTTCCCCCCGTTTACAGTTTGCCTTTTTGTATTGTTTATGCTGTTTTTTGACGTGTACTTGAACTTGCTATTTTTTTCCTTTATGATATTTTCCCTCATTTTTATGGTTAGAAAGTCCTTTCTATACCAAAAAAAAAAAAAAATCAGGATTTGTTTAAAAGGGAAAACAGTGCCCAGCTCCAGGGGAAAGACCCCGCAGGACAGGCTCCTGGCACCTCTCAGGCTCAGGAACCTCATCGCTGAGGCTCAAGATGATGCCTCCAAAGCTTCCAGGGCCTCTCATCTGAGGAGGGGGCTTGGGGTGGGAGCTCCTTTAGCTTCATCCTGTGGGGGCTGCTTTTAGTTGGCAGCTGGCCTCCTAGCGGGAGGGAGCAAGAGTCCAGGCCCAACCCTGCCCCCACTTCTTGGCAGGGCCAACTTGGCTGCATTGACAGTCCCGATTTTCTGAGCCCTGAGGTCTTCATTGTGACACCTCCCCAGCCTGTTTCCTGTCTGAGCCTCGATATCCCACCTGTAAAATGGGTGTGCTCACAGGGTTAAGGGGCCTGGCCCAGGTGCTGCTCAACAATGCCAGCCTCTTCACAATGGTTGCTAGGCAACAGGGCCTCCTATCAGGGAGGGGAGCCAGACCTGCAGAAGGGGACTGGAGCCAGCAAGGCGGAGTTGAGGCAAGATGACAGCTACTCAGAAACACAATCTCTTCACGCCAGAACCTCACTATATCCCTGGGTAAGCGCTGGAGCCCTGGAGGAGGCTGGGGTCCGTGGAGAATGGGGGAGCAAGGTGGGGGGCTAAGGGCCCAAGGCCAGCTACAAGGGGAGCTCCAGGGAGTGGGGGTGAGGCCCGAGGGGTGGAGGGGCCTGGGGCAGGAGTGCTTGGGAGTGTCAAGGGCCTGGGCCTACACACCCTCTGGCCGCCGGCATGTCTGTCTGTCTGTCTTTCTGTCGAGAGCAGAAAATGGGGACAGCCCAACAGCTGGCGGAGGCTGTCTAAGTCCCTGCAGGACGCTCACTCCAGAGTAATCCATGCTTTAAAGTCCAGATGAGCATCCGGAGTAAGCCAACAGGCAGGAGCGTAAGGCTGCCTTGCTAGGTGCTCCTCCGTGTGAAAGAGAAACACGAGCCCTCCACAGAGTGTGTGTGTGCACACCCCCCCACACACAGATTCAAGGGAGAAAGGGAAGGGGCTGGGAAGGAGCCAGGCCTAACTTTTCACCACAGTTCTGAGGGAAAAGATGGGACGGAAGATACTGAAAAGGGCTCTGACCTCAGCTTCAGCTTCGCTTATCTCTTAAACTAGCAAACTGAATTCACTTTGTTAAAAGAAAACAATTCACACTCCTTGGGGGATCACACAGGCCCCCAGCAGCACTGAACTACCCACCACTCCCCTCGTGGCCTGCTGCTGTGATGTCTATACCACTTTCCCACATGGCTCAACCGTCACCCCCTACCAGTCGCCCTCCTGTCCAGCTCCCAAACTCTGTCCCATACAGTTGTCTACTGGCTGCCTAGGTGGCAAAAGTCTGGACCAACCTTCCCAGTGGGACCAACTTGTATATAATGGGCTTCCCTGTGCCTTGGCCCCTGTCTGGACCCCGTCACCATCCTTGTAAATGCTTTGAGGGGGTAGAGGTCCTTGTTGTTGAAGGATGGCAATTGATGGTGGTGATGACAATGGAGCTCACCTCCTCTGGGCCAGGCCTGTTCTCGGGCCTGGAATGTGCCATCCACTCAAGCTTCAAGAGCCCCAGCAGGCAGGTGAGGTCAGGTGCCTTGCCTGTGGCCGGGAGGCTGGATCCACACCCTGCTTTCAGGGGCCCTGCCCTCGCCCACTGGCCCCGCCTCTTCCTCCTCTTCTCTTTGCAGCTATGCTGGCTTCTACCCTCAGCTGCGCTACCAGGTGGGGAACACCTATGGGCGCACCACAGCGCAGCTGCTCACAGACCCCAGCGTGCGCAAGAGCCCCTGCTCCGTGCTGTCCCCCACATCCAAGCCCAAGTTCATCGAGGACTTCAGCAAGTCCAAGCCACCTTGGATCCCCTGCCGCGACCTGATTGAGCCCTACATCCCCCACTACACTGGTGAGTCACCTGCCCACCGGCCCGGCCCCTCCCGGGCCCTCCCTGATGCCTGTTGTCGCTCACAGCCATCCTGCCCTGTCCGTACAGGTCTGAAGCCCTACAAGAACTTTGAGATCCTGGGTCGATTCCCACCCCAGGAGGCGGACACCCAGGGGCCACCTGGGGTACAGAACGCATCCGCGCAGGTCCAGCTGCCTGCAGGCTTCATGCCCTATCCCTGCTACCCTCCACGCTCACCAGGCAGGAAGGGGGACTCCAGGGACTTTGGACACCCGGGCCTGCGGCTGGCCTATGGGGAAGAGGGCTGGAAGAGCACCATCCCTGACCACGAAGCCCCTGGGTGGCACCAGGTAACTAGAAGATGCGCCAGGACTGAGCCTCACCCCAGCCAGACCCAGGTCGGGGCTGGGGTGGTGACTTGCCCCCTCTCCATCCCAGCTGTACCACTACAGGAGGGACGAGTGCCTGCCCCCAGCCCGCCAGCAGGAGACACTAGATGTGGGCAGGTTCCACAGGCTGCCCCAGCTGGATCACCCCAAACTGATCCAACGCAAGGCCATCTCAGGTGGGCACCCAGGGCCTGGGTAGGAAAGGGGGACACCCCCTTCAAGGCTTCAGGGGCCTAGGCAGGATGAAGGGTGAGAGCAAGTGAGGAGTGATGCTGTGGGCCCGTCCTGCCCTGAGACCTGCTTCCTGGAGCCCCGCTTCTCCCAAGGCCGGAAGCTCCTGCCTGCCCATTTCCATCCGACCCAGCAGACAGTCACCAATGTTTAGGAAAGGGAAGGAGCCCAGACAGACCCACAACACACCTGGGAGCCGGTGGGTATGCCCAGGGCAAGGCAGAGGGGATCTGGAGCGGGACCCTGACCTCTTCCTCCCCCAGGCTATGCTGGCTTTGTCCCCCGGTTTGCCTGGGTGTTGGGGATGAATTACCGCAATGGGGTCACACAGGCTATGGACGAGTTTGACAAGAACCAGGTACAAAGACACCATCCCTGGGCCTGCTCCGGAGTGCCCAACTCCACCTGCAGGGTGGTCTGTACGCCTCTGAGCGAGCAGGAGGACGGGGCTGTGAAGGCCAGACTTCCTTAGAGGCCTGGGGAGGGGGTTCTGCCTGGCCCAAAGAGGCTGCTCGCCCCCTTGGTTCCCTGCTTTGGAGCAATGTGGGGAGTGGGGAAGACAGGAGCCCCTTGAACATTAGCTACTTCCCAGGAGAATGCCAGCCCCACCCCGCCCCAGGACATTTTTCTTGCTGGTTACCACATGGGGGAGGCAGCACATCTCAGTGCCTGCCTGTTTCCCCAGTTCCTGTTCAGAAATCCCATCTGTGCCCTGGGTGAGCGGTTGCCCAGGACACACTGGCCCAGCAACACCATCTACAGCAGCAAAGGCCTCATACCTTTCTACATGGGCTTCATACCATGTGAGTGCACAGAGGGGGTCCAGGCCCACCTCATTCGGACCAGGTCACAGGGACCAGGTCACAGTGACCAGGCCCCTGTGGGGAGGGGGGGGGGCAGCTGGGGCCCCTCACCTATGCTGCACCACTGGCACAGGGCCAACTGTATTACCACATTGTCCCCAGGGTCCCTTGCAGTAGGACTGCCCCCCCCCACCCACCCATCCCCCACTGTGGAAGGGGCTCAGCAACCTCTTCTACTAAAAGCTGCAGATGGAGGCCAGCTGTCTCCAGACCTACTGACTCCCTGCAAGTTTAGCACAGACAGGCCAGGCCAGGCTCGCCCTCAGGAGGCAGGTGCCCAGGGCAGCCCCAGGCTCCTCAGAGGCCTTCATGTTCACAGCCTGTGCTGACCCCTCCAGCAGCTACTTGTAGGCTCACCATGGGCGCACAGCAAGCCCAGGAGCCCAATGGCAGCACTGCCCTTTGTAGCCATGCAGAACAACTTTGCGCTGACGTTTGGGAACAGTACCCGTAAGGCCTATCAGAAGGAAATGAAGAGGCGAAAACAGACACTATGAAAACGCTTTAATGATGGTGTCTGTACAGCACATGACATCAAGACAGGAAGGAGAGCAAGTGGACACACAATGAGACGTGGCTATCAGGGAACAGACTGCGAGTGAATAAAGAGTTCACAAGGCTCCCGTGCTCTACCGGGTATCAGACAGCTCTAGGCCACCTCCTCCTCCGCCTCCTCCTCAAACTCGCCCTCCTCCTCGGCCGTGGCGTCCTGGTACTGCTGGTACTCGGACACCAGATCATTCATGTTGCTCTCGGCCTCGGTGAACTCCATCTCGTCCATGCCCTCGCCCGTGTACCAGTGCAGGAAGGCCTTGCGCCGGAACATGGCTGTGAATTGCTCCGAGATGCGCTTGAACAGCTCCTGGATGGCTGTGCTGTTGCCGATGAAGGTGGCGGACATTTTTAGCCCCCGAGGTGGGATGTCACAGACAGCTGTTTTCACATTGTTGGGGATCCACTCGACAAAATAGCTGCTATTCTTGTTTTGAACGTTAAGCATCTGCTCATCCACCTCCTTCATGGACATTCGACCCCTGAACACAGCAGCTACCGTCAGGTAGCGGCCGTGGCGGGGGTCGCAGGCAGCCATCATGTTCTTGGCATCAAACATCTGCTGGGTGAGCTCTGGCACCGTCAGGGCCCGGTACTGCTGGCTGCCCCGGCTGGTCAGTGGGGCAAAGCCAGGCATGAAAAAGTGCAGGCGGGGGAAGGGGACCATGTTGACAGCCAACTTGCGCAGGTCAGCATTGAGCTGGCCAGGGAAGCGCAGACAGGTGGTGACCCCACTCATGGTGGCCGACACCAGGTGATTCAGATCACCGTACGTGGGTGTGGTCAGTTTTAGGGTTCGGAAGCAGATGTCATACAGGGCCTCATTATCAATGCAATAGGTCTCGTCTGTGTTTTCTACGAGCTGGTGGACTGAGAGGGTGGCATTGTAGGGTTCCACCACCGTGTCCGACACCTTGGGAGAGGGTACCACACTAAATGTGTTCATGATCCTGTCTGGGTACTCCTCTCGGATCTTGCTGATAAGAAGGGTACCCATCCCAGAACCAGTCCCCCCACCCAGGGAGTGGGTCAGCTGAAAGCCCTGCAGGCAGTCACAGCTCTCAGCCTCCTTCCTCACGACGTCCAGCACCGAGTCGACCAGCTCTGCACCTTCTGTGTAGTGCCCCTTGGCCCAGTTGTTCCCCGCACCACTCTGACCTGCAAAAGAGGGCAGTCGATCGCTCTTTGGCCAAGGGTCTGATCACCAATGTCAAAATGGCCAAATAACCCGGAGTGAGAAGACACACAGAACTGACCCTGCCGGTAGAGCCTACGGACCCCCAAACCGATAACACAACAGCCTGCCTCGTTCAAACTTAAGTTAGGGATCAAGACAAAATGACTTAACAAGCCAGCTCCTCCCACGGGCAGCTCCTGCCAATTCCCAAGGACAGACGGGCCACCAGAGCTGCAACCGCCTCTAGCACAGCCATCACCACAGGCAGATTACATCTGCCCGCTCCTTTGCGGGTGGACAGCTGGGCCTTCCTCCCAAAGCCGCTTTAGGAAAGGGGATTGAGTGACTGCAGCGGGGAGGACAGTGTCCAGGGGCCCTAGCTGCTGCTCGGGGGACAGAGTGGATCAGAATCTCGATTCCGCGGTACTGACGGTGGTGACCTTGAGCACCTCTTAACCTTTGAGCCATCCCGGCTAACAGGCCGCCTCCCAGCCCCCATCCACGGCTCACCGAAGACGAAGTTGTCCGGCCTGAAGATCTGCCCGAAGGGCCCGGACCGCACGGAGTCCATGGTGCCCGGCTCCAGGTCCACGAGCACGGCGCGGGGCACGTACTTGCCACCTGGGGGGCGAGTGGGAGGGCGTCAGCAGGCGGGGGAGTAGGGCTGGGGCGGCAGGAAGAGTGGGAAGGGGCGCGGGGTCTCACCGGTGGCCTCGTTGTAATACACGTTGATCCGCTCCAGCTGCAGATCACTGTCCCCGTGGTAAGTGCCAGTAGGGTCGATGCCATGCTCGTCACTGATCACCTCCCAGAACTGCGAGACGCGGGCGGGCCGGGGCTGAGTCACGCCGGCGGTGTCCGGAGCCGGCCCCACCCCGGACGGGCGCCGCCCTGCCCTCCCCCGCCGCCGGGTCCGTCCTCGGGGGCTCCTGCCGCCGCCCCGGCCCCGGCCCCGACCCCAGCCCCGACTCCGACCCCCACCCTCGCACCGGCCCCGCGCGGGGCCGCAATGCGGGGGCGCCACCCGCCCGCTGCCGCCATCTTTCCCGTCCGCCCGCCCCGCCCGGCAGACCCGCGCCGGCCGCGGCACCCCGCCGCCCACCTTGGCGCCGATCTGGTTGCCGCACTGGCCGGCCTGCAGGTGCACGATCTCTCTCATGGCGACGGCAGCAGCGGCGGCGGCGCAGGCGGAAGGACGGAAAAAAGAGCCGAGCAGGAGGCGCGCAGAGTGCTACAACCGACGCTCGGCCGGCGCTTATATGCCCGCCGTGCCCGCCTCCGCCGGCCTCGTATTGGGCTGCCAGAACGAGGCTGGCAAGCGGCCTCTTTTGATTGGCTGTAGCTTCGTCAATCGGGCATCCTAGTGCCCGCCTTCCCAACGCCTTTCGCTGTTTATTGGTCGGCGGCGGCCTCTGCTCTCCCTATCAAAACTCCCCCCCTCGCGCTGCGGTGGTCTGTCCATTGGGTGTTTCAAATGATTGATTTGTCCTCTCATTGGCTGGCTCCGGAAAGCACGCCGCCAGGCCGGCGCGATTGGCCGCGCGGGGCCAGCGTCCTGGTAACCGCCGCAGTGCCGCGGCGGCGCGCGCGGGCTCGGGGCGCGGCGCTCGGCTGGGCCGCGGGGGCGGCAGGTGTCTCGGCGGCCCCAGCGGGCGAGCGCATGCCCGGGCCCCGCCGTGCGTTTCTCGGGGGCGGCCGCCGCGAGTGAGGGCGCGCGTGGGCCGGCCTCGCCGCCCGCGGGTCTCGCTCGGAGCCCAGGAGTGGCGCGAGGCGGCGCGCGGCAGACAAATGGGGCCTGGGGCGGAGGGGCCCCTGCGCCCCTCCCGGCGCGGTCAGGTGCGGAGCACGTGGGCGCGGCGCCCGGCCCGGGGGAGGGGCCTGCCCGGCAGCCGCGCCTGTTGTGGAGACGCGCTGGCCCCGCGCCCGTCGCCTTGGTGCCCCGGCCCCAGGAGCGCGCCGAGCCGCGTGCAGCCGCGGGCCGGCCCCCCACCTCCGGGCTCCCCGGCCCTGGGACCCCGGCCACGGATCTGCCTGCCGGGGCTGACCAGTGCTTCTACTTTTTCCTGATTTACGTTTAGGAAGAAAAAAAAACAACGTACAGGTTATGAAATTACATGTGTTCGCGCCTTCAGTCAATCGCTTTAAAAACAGTACGCTTGCGTTATATTTTTGTAACGTTTTTAAAGAGAAAAAGTTACTCCCTTGTGTCTGCCCTGACGGTCCCTCTTGCGGTGACCACCGGGGCCTCTCCAGATTCGGGTTTTCTCGGTGAACTTCTTACCCTCCTTTGCCCCTACGCCGAGGGTGTTGGGGGCAGCAGCTGGTTGTTTATTTTCCTCTCTCTGGGGGGAATGCGCTCCCCTCCTCTCTAACACGTAAAATGAGGGCACTGTGGCGACTGCGGCGTAGCCGACTGAAAGTGTTACCTGGATGGACAGCGGCGCGCTGGCCAGAGACTAGCCTTCCCATCCCATCCCCGGGACAGTGGTCGGGACTGCAGTGCTGACCTGGAGGGTGAGTCAGCACAGTGACGGGCCGTCGGTCCCAGCAGGGCCTAGGGGACCAGCCGCCTCCCCCACAGACCGGTCCAGGGAGGCAGGCCTGGCTTCTGTGGACCACAGGTCTCCCTCGTGGGGCGCGCAGGGCCACTGCCTGCATCCTGGGTCTGCGCAGTGCCCTGCAAAGTAGCTTAGCTGCCCAAGCGGCAGTTGGCAAGGCTGAGGCGCTGCAGTAGGGAGGCTGCTGGGGCTTCTCAGCACTGAGTTGTGCAGATCCACAAATTGGTGAGACAAGGAGCAGCTCACCTTTCTCCCCAGTGAGCCGTGCGAAGCTCTGCTAAGGTGGCTCTTTGAGGTGTTTGTCAAAGCCCCCCAGACCCCCCAGGCCATGTGGCCAGAGACCCCCACTGGAAAAGGCCCCTGCTTCCTGTGAGTGTGCACAGGGTTGGGAGTTGAGTGTGGCACCCCCATTTTACAGGTAACAAAATAGTTCTTGTGTCACCAGCCTAGGTGTGATCCCCAGAGCCCCCCCTGGCACCAGGTAGTCCGGCGTGCCCCGCCCGTTGCCTGTGCAAGGTGGATACTAGCTGGGGACAAGACAGCAGGAGCCTCCCTTGGGCCTGCGCTGGGCTGGTGGGAGGAGACCCTGTAGGTCCCCACCCTCAGCCAAGGGTGTTCCTGCCTGGGCCCAGTGGGGGTTTGTGGCCTCGCGGGATGCAGAGCAGAGAAGGCCAGAGGCGCAGGGAAGCCCAGGCAGGGGCCGTGGGAGCGCTGGGCGGCTGGCCCTCCCACCCTAGCCTGCAGCTGTTAGAGGGAGGCATCCACAACGGCAGCTCTGTTTACTGGTGGCCATGGTCCCAGCGGGAGGGTGCGTTACCGCCAGGCAGGGGCAGCAGGCAGACAGTCGTTTGTGGCCTCAAAGGACCTGGCGGTCAGCCTTTGTGGGCGGCCTCACCCGGAAGGAGAGGTGTGGGGTACTTTCTTCCCCTCTCACTGCCTCCCGGCTGTGGAGAGGGGGCCCCCTGCGTCCCCAGGGAACTAGCCAGGCCTGGCTCCTCCTCAGGGACTTGTATCAGAGGGACCACGAAGCTGATGTCAGATCTGCAGGAATGCACTGAAGTCACAGAAGTGGGGGGAACCCAAGAAGGGTACATGGACCTGCCTCCGAGGTCTCGCTCTGGCCAGGCCTCTCATGGCTCCCAGGAGTGGGGGCTACCTCCCTCGGTGGACAGGGGGATCCTCAGGCTCAGGAGGCCTAGGAGCTTGTTGGGGGAAGGGGACCTGGGGGGAGCTGAGAGGGGCTGGGAGTACCCCAGGTGGGGACTGAGGGGACTGTGACGTGACGGCGGGGGACACAGTGGGGGGTGGGGTGGGGCTGGTGACTGAGAGGGGCTGGGGTCTGGGGGGTCTGAGGGGACTGAGAGGGTGGGGGTTGGTGTTTGCTGAGAGAACCAGAAGGGGAGTAAAAGGACAGGACCAGGGGCAAGAACTGGCCCTGGGGCTCTGCAGCCTTATCTGACCATCACACTTCTCCCCCACTGGGTCTGGCTAGGCAAGCCCGTGTAGGGGAGTGCTGAGAAGGAAGGGGCGCCCCCATCAGGGCAGCGTCTCTGGCCCAGAAGGAGGTGACTGGCCACAGTGGCAGACTCTCTAAGGAGAAGGGCAACCCAGGCACTTGATCAGGGCCAGCCCCCGGCCGCTGGTCTGTCCCTGTGGCCCCTCTCGGGGCCGAGTTCTGGTGGAGCGCAATTCACTGAAGTTTGCTTTTTCCGTGGGTGGCTGGGGCGTCGGGCTGGGGTTGTGGGCAGCACAGGGCTGGAGGGGCGGGAGGCCCAGGCTGCTTCCTTGGTGTCCGGTTACTGGCTGGCCGGCAGACCAGCCTTCCTGTGTAGAAACCTGCTGCACCACTGCGGGAGGGGCAAGGGCAGGGGCTGGGGCAGGGGCAGCGCTCAGCCCTGGAGGCCCTCGTGGTGGGGGAGGGGGCTCACGCATGGGCTCCAGGTGCCGTGGCACCAGGGGTCACTGGTAGGACCTGCTTCCTGGGACATGTTGGGGTCTGAGCACCTGCTCACCCGGGCCCTGGAGGGTAGTGCCACTGTGGCCACAAGGTACAGGTCAGGGTGCCCGGGAAACCTGAGCGTGGGCTCTCCTGCCCCCTGGCCCCATGCACCTCCATTCCCCCCACCCTCGCAGCCCTGTACCCCCCCGAGCCCAGCCTCCTTGCAAGCATTCCTGGGCATGGTGTGTGAGAGCCGGCTGCTCCTGCCTCTTGCACCCTCAGGGAAGGGCCCGGCAGCATCCAGCCTTTCCTGGCCCCAGCTTCTTGCTGCGGGAGGTCTCCACGCTCTGGACTCGCCTTCTGTCCCCAGCAGCCGTGGAGAGAAACAGAGCTACAGTCTGGGGCTCAGGGGTCAGCTGTGTGCCCACACCCACTGGGCGGCTAGGTCCCATGCAGGCTCGCCACGGTCTGGCCGCGGGCCCGAGTGTCCGCTAGGGGGCAGCCTTGCACTGCCCCACGCCCAGCTGTCCTCAGAGGCCAGCCTGGGACCCTCCCCCCAGTGCCCCTGTCAGGGGAGTGAAGACCACTCACACCTGGGTCACAGCTTCTTCTTTATTTGCAAAGAACGTGAGCCAGACGACTCAGAAGTCCACTGCTACAGGGATCACCCAGGGTACCCAGAGGTCAGTGGGCAAGGGTTGTGGGGGTCCCCGGGGGTGCCCACCCCTCACAACTGCTGGGAGGCCAGCACCTCAGGGTTCTCGTGGCAGTGGGCCTCCTTGGCGGTGGCCCGAGGTGGGCTGCGGGCCCTGCAGGGGCAGCAGCGGCTCACCAGGCGGTCCCAGGGCTCCAGAGACCGGAGCCAGAGGGGCAGCCAGGCCCAGGAGCGCACATGGTGGGGTAGCCAGGCTGGCCGGTGCTGCTGCAGGACGTTGATCAGGACAACGAAGAGCACCAGCCCGGCCAGGGGCCCCCCAACGGCAGCCAGCACTGTGCCGCCTGCCAGGGAGAGCCCAAAGGTGGCCAGTGGCAGCAGCAGGAAGCTGAGCAGCAGGTAGGCAATGGCCACCCAGCGGTATTGGGCGGTCAGGTCCCCGAAGCGCTTGGCCAGTGGAATGGGCAGCCGCAGGACAGGCACCACGTACCACAGCAGGATGCCGCCCAGGTTGAAGAAGAAGTGGATGAGGGCGACCTGGAGAGTGGGAGGGCAGGCAGGGGCAGGAGTCTGGGCCTGATGGCCCAGGGTCCCCTGGGCTCCCCAGGATGCCTGCCCTGCCCTGCCCTGGCAGAAATGGGGCCAAGTCCAAAGCCTGTCTGGGGTCCTGCTCGTTGACTGAGATGGGTCACCTGGAAAGGCAGACTCCCACCAGGTGTGGCACACTCCTCCCGCCCCCCCCAACACCGTGAGGGTCAAGAGCCCAGTCTGGCATCCCAGTGTGGTAATGGCATTGTTGATGGCTGCATGGATCTGACCTGCCCCTGGGCTGGCTTAGCTTGTGCACACCTCATGCCTAGTGACCCCGATCCTTCTCATCCCTGAGTTGACTTGGCCACCCAGCCCTGGGCTCTGGTCTGGCTCCTGTGGGGAGGAGGTGCAAGGCCACATGTGGAGGGAACACAGCCCCCTCCAATGGCTGCTGGACTCCAGGACTGGTGCAGCAGGTGCAGTCTGGAGGGCTTCCTGGAGGAGGTGGGGCAGGGGCCTGCCCTGGGAGGGTCTGGGAGGACAGAGACGGAGCAGAGGCAAAAGGGCAGATGGGAGTCAGGGGAACCAGGGCTCATCTCTTCTTGTGGGTGCAGCCCAGAGAGGTCCAGGCTTTCAGAAGCTGCACCTGTCTGGACCCGAGCAGAGGTGGTGGAGGAGGGAAGCTCGAGCCAGGGCAGTGGACCACAAAAGGGGTGAGTTGGAGAGAGAATCAGCAGAACTAAACGAGTCTGGTTGGGGGGCATAGAGCTGGGGGGCTGGAGGGAGGCATCCTGGAGGCAGAACTGTGTCTAGGGGCATGGAGCGCCCAGCATAGGTGGGGTGCAGCCTTCACAAGAGGATGGCATGTCATCCAGGTAGGGACCTGCTGGGTTTAGGTGACTGGCGGGCAAGAGGGGCATCCTGGAGGTGGTGAAATAGAGGGCTTGAGGCCCCACAGGGCTGAGAGGCCTCGAAGGAACACAGCCAGGAGCATAGGGTCAGGGGTAAAGGAACAGGGGCCCCCTGGGGAAGGTTGGGGAGGGGCTGCCAAAGAGAAAGGAAGAGAGGGCACCCTAAGTCCACATGATCCTGGAGATGATGAGGTCACAGGACAGGAAGATCAGGGCTGGGGGTCTGGGAGATGCTCACAGGGTCCCTGGGGTCTGAGGAGATGAGGCTGCCGGTCTGAGCGGGCAGCCAGAGGTGGGTCCCAGGAGAGCTTAGGCCATGGCCAGCCTGAGGCCCTAGGGCAGGCCTCACACCTCCTGTCCACAGGGCTGGACTCGAGGGAACCGGGCCCAAAGGAAAGCCCCAGGCCAGCGCTGGGAGTTGAGGGGGCTGTTGGGGGCTGGGGAGGGGTGAGGGAAGGTGGTACCTGGACGGCGCTGAGCAGCATGTCTGCGGGGCTGGCTAGGGCCGCCAGCAGAGCCGTGGTGGTGGTGCCAATGTTAGAGCCCAGGAAGAGGGGGTACGCGCGCTCCAGGCTGATCACCCTCACCCCTGGGGAAGCCAGGGGTCACCATGGGGCCCTGAGCCCCGCACCTGAAACCCAGTGCCTGCCCGCCACACTCACCCATGAGCGGCACAATGGCGGCCGTAAAGACGCTGCTGCTCTGGAGCATGAAGGTCAGGCTGGCACCCACGAGGATGGCCAGGTAGCCGCTGAGCCAGCCGAATGGGAAGGGGAAGTCTGGGGAGAGAGCTAGGTCACCCCGGGCCCAGTCTCCCTGCCCCCGCCCCTGCCAAGGCCCCGCATCCCACACCAGCGTTGATGACAGTCCTCACGGCCTGGGCAACACGGCCGCGCAGCACGGAGTTGAGCAGCTTGACGAGGAGGACGAGGCAGGAGCAGAGCCCGAGCAGGGAAGCTGCCAGCAGGATGAAGCCCACGGCCAGGTCCGTGAGCGCCGTTCCTGCGAACAGGTGGTGGCCTGGTGGCAGGGTGGGGGCAGGTGAGTGGTGGCCAGCTTGTGGGGTGGGCAGGGGTAGGGGCGGGCGCCGGGCCTCACAGGGCAGGTGCTCCAGGGCGGCTGAGCTGTTCCTCTCAGGGCAGGAGTCGGAGGTGGCCACTCCACAGTTGCTGCCATTCCCCGTGGTCTGAGGAGGTGAGGTGAGGTGGGCTCAGGATGGGCTCAGAGTGGGCAAGACTGGGTAATTCAGCAGGTCGGAGTTCGAGGGTCAGAGGCACCTTACCATCTCCCCCCTGGTGCCACACCATCGCTTGACGAGGCTGCTGTTGGTGGCATTGCCTGTGGCACTTCCCGTAATCACATTGGCATCCAGCTGGGGGACAGAGGGGCCGCAACCGTCTGCTGGACCCTCAGGACTCGCCTGGGGCTCAGACGCCCACAGCCCAGCCCAGTCCACTGTCCCCTCCCCTCCCCCACCCAGCGCAGGGCCCAGACTCTTCTGCTCTGTCCCTTCCACCCCCCAACTCCAGCGTGCTGTCCTCACCTGCACAACAAGGTGTGTGAGTGGCTGCGTCAGCACCTTGAGGATGTCAGGTGCACGCCCCCCAGGCTGCAGGCTGGTGGTGCCCAGGGCCAGAGCGCTGAGCCTCTCCAGTGGGGCCATGGCACTCTCCAGTGGCAGCAAGAGCAGCACTGTGAGCCAGTTGAAGATGCTGTGCACGGCTGAGCCGCCGAAGGCCCTGTGGTCGCATGGAGTCGAGTGGTCAGTGGTGGCCTTGGCCGCGGCCTGGACTGCAGCCCCTGGCCCCTGCCCTACCCACTTACCTCCGAAACTCATCCCGGTCCCCTGACTGTGCCATTGAGACCAGGGTGCTGGTGATGGACGTGCCCACATTGACGCCCATGATGATGGGCACCGAAGCCTGGACGGTCAGCACTGTGGGGGTTGCTGTGTCAGGCCCCCGCGCCCGCCACCCCCCCACCGTCCCGGGAGGAGAGGGCCACTTACACTTAGAGGCCACCATGCTGACCACAATGGAGGAGGACGTGCTGGAGCTCTGCACGAGAACTGTGACCAGCACACCAATGACCAGTCCAGCCACAGGGTTGGACAACACCATGTTGTCCTTGAAGATGTCTCCAGCCACTTTGCCTACACCAAGAAGAGAGGTGCACTGAGGCTGTGGAGGGCTGGCTGCCCAGCCCACCCCCAGCCACCTGGCCGGTCACTCACTGCCCAGCAGCTGGAAGGCAGAGCTGAGGATGTCCAGGGAGCAGATGAAGAGGTAGAGGCTGCCCAGGAGCCCACAGGCCTTGAGGAAGCCAATGACCACCCGGAGCACCCTGCCGGCCAAGCTGAGCTCTGAGGACACAACACAAGGCTGTCCTCAGCCAGCCCTTGCCTTGCGCTGCCCAGCACCCCCCCCACCCAGGTCACTTCCTTCTCTGACCCCCAGGGCAGGGCTTGGGCCCCCCTCTGTCCTCCTGGGGCAGGGCCTGGGTGGCCCGCCTCTGTTCCCCAGGGCAAGGTCTGAGTCAGTCTCCTCTGGGCCCCCCTCTGTCCTCCAAGGCAGGGCCTGGGCTTTCCTTTGTCCTCCCGGGGCAGGGCCTGGGCGACCCTCCTCTGTTCTTTTGCAGAAGGGCTGAGCAAACAGCCCCTAGGGCCCCCCAGAAGCCTAACTGCCAGCAAGAGAGAGGAAGAGGGGCAGGCTGGGCAGCAGTGGCTCTCGTCTCTGGACAGGGCAAGCAGCCAAGCTGAGGAACAAAAGTTCCCCAAGTGGCAGTCTGCATGGTGGGTTTCCATGTGGCCTGTTGGGGCAAACCCCCTCCCTGCTCTCTCTCTCTGAGGACCCTTTCCATATTCAGATCCTAAGGAGTTGGAGCCCCCTTTAACCAGTTACCTGCCACCTCCAGACCTACCTTTCCAGGATTGGCCAGTGTCCTTCAGCTCAGGGAGGGCCCAGGGGTCCGTGTCCCTCTCTTCCAAGACCAGGGCAGAACCAGAGGTCCCTGCAGGGGTTGGGATCAAGAAGGACCAGGGCCCCAGCCATTCCCTGGGCACCCCTCAGGTGGGGCAAAAGGGGGTGAAGGGGACTGTGGATGGGGGCCTGATGAGGTTCAGCAGCAGGAAGCAGGGAGCCAGGGCCCTCTAGCTTGTGTGGCCCTAACAGAGCTGTCATGAGCCCCCGGAGGCTCTCAGGAGACTGGCTGGAGCCCCTCTCCCTGCTTACCCAGAGCAATGGGACAGGGCCTGATGGGTGGGCAGAGGCAGGCGGAGACCTTGGCCGTGGGGCTCCTGGTACCTGCATTTCCCAGACTCCGGTTAACCAGGCCAACCAGGTCCAGAGTAGTGGGGGGGACCTGGCCACTGGTGAGGGAATTCGGCATGGATTTCAGGCAGGGGCAGACCCAGGCCCAAGCCGGGATCTCCTGGGGGAAGAGCAGGTCAGACACATCTCCTCCCCCTGCCCCACCAGGTCTTGGGGTCCCCTGATCTGAGACCTTGCCGACTGTCCTCCTTTCCCACCCCCTGCTGGCCTTGGTGACCTCCCCTTTTCTCCATCCACAGGGGGATGGCTACAGTGACCTCAGGTCACTGTTAGGTGAGTCTAGTCCAATGTCGGGGCACTGCCGGCTTCCTCACTGGTGCTAGCTGGAAGAAGACCTTGAGGGTGGCCCAGGGCACAGGGTGCCGGGGTGCTGGCCAGAAGTGGCCAGGATCCAGGAACCCAGGGACCTGTGCTATCGGGTGTCATCGGGGGCACTGCAGATGGTCCTGACTTAGACTTTGGAATTTGATACCAAATAGTGATGTCTCCGCTTGATAAGGGACCCACCCCTGGCGATAGGGAGCAGGGCAGGGGGCTCGGGCACCCCCACCCCACCTCAAGTGTCCTCTCTGCAGCCTGTGGATCCAGAGCCCCTGTCTAGCCCTTCTTGACTCCCTCTCAGTCCCCAGGGCTCAGGTCCTGGGGGGCTTTCTGTTACCCCTCCCTCCTGGTCACCAGAAGCTGGTCTCTCGCCCTCACCTCCTGGAAGCTAAGGGTGCAGAGGGCTCAGCCCTAGGCCTGAAGGTCACCCAGCCCCAGCCCCGGTGTCCCTGGGCCCCCGCCTGGCTCTAGAAGCTCCTACCTGTGTGGGTAGTGAGGGGGCACCTGTGGGGAAGAGGTATAGGGCGGGAGCCGCTGCAGGTCAAAGATCTGCTGGGCGCACACATGACCTGCTGTGCGCTGAGCCCCATTAATGTTTACCCAGGAGCTGAGTCCCCCAGGTACCTGCCGTAGCCCCAGGCACCTGCCTTGTCCAGGTCCCAATGTCACCTTGGGGCAGGCACTCTGGGCCCCCAGCCCAACCCTCTTGGAGGGGAGTTTCTCCCTGGACAGGCCCCAAGCCAGGCCAGGGGCGTTGCAGGGCTGGGCGCCCGCCTTTGGTGCTAGACTTCCACAAGTAGACGCCTGTGGAACGCTGCTGGACACTGCATGCTGCCCGCCCAGCCGGTTGGCCAGGGGCCCCTGGGGAAGTCTGCCCCAAGTTCTGCAGACCTTATCGTGGTCATCCCTGCCCTGGTCAGCTGGTGGGAAGGAAGCCTTTTGCGTCAGGGGAGCAGAGAGGGCACCAGCCCCAGAGGTCATCCAGTTCAGATCCAGGTTCAGGGAGGGCTGGGCTCCACAGAGCTCCCCGGAGCCCAGTCTCAGTGGTGAGCAGTGACGGTTGACTACGTTGTGTCTCCATCTGCAAGTGGGGGGAGGGCAGGGCCCCTCCCCAGGCCACATTGCTACCCGGCCCACCGCCCAAGCCCATCTGGACTAAGAGACTCAGCCCACCTTCTCCTCTCCCCAGCTGAGTCCTGATTGGCTCCACTGCTTGTGGGATGCCCCTTCTTGGGGTCAGTCCCCTTCCCGGGATGTTGGGAGGAAGAGCTGCCCCTGCTGGGGCCAGCCCCTCCCCCTCCTCCTTGGGCCTGATCTCCCCAGGGGGTCTGCTGGCCCAGCACCCTGCTGGCTGCCCCCTCCATTGCTGTGTGCCTGGGAGACTTTGCCCCAGGGAAGGAGGAGGTCTCAGAGTGTCCTCTCAGCAAATTCTCTCATCCCTCCCCGTCTTGGCACCCGCTGCCCAGGGTGGGCCCCGCAGTCCCTCCCAGGGGCTCCTGAGTGACAGCTCCTGCCCAGGTGAGGATGGAGATGTTGCAGCCTGACTTGGGGGGCGTCTGCGTCCATAGCCTCCAGCAGCTACTCTGGTCCCTCTGAAGGGTCTGTGTGGTGGTCACTGGGAGGCAGAAGGAAGCTGAGAGCCAGGAAAGGGCCCAGCATGGGTGCAGTCCTACTGAGCTGTGTGAACTGAGGCAGGTCCCCACCCTCTCTGGGCCTAGAGCCAGCCCTACCTAGGGCCCTCTCCTTGGACACCTGTCACAGGGGTGACTTCGTGGCCGCAGGGGACCCTCCTGGAACGGCGCCCAACACACGGTGGCAGCGCAGTGAGCTTTGCTGAGTGAATGAACTTCACAGGCTGCCTTGCAGGCCAGGGACGAAGGAAGTGGCTCTTCCTCTGTTCCTAGATCACCCCTCAGGGACGTCTTACAGGGGAGGGGAGACCTGCTCCAGCACCAGCAGGGACAGCCTGGCCCGCCCTGCCCCTCAGAAGCCGTCCTCTGAGCTGAGTCCAGGCCGGGCTGGCCTTCAGGCGACTCTGACAGAGGCACCCTCCAGCCCCCATGCAGTCAGGCCAGCTTGTGGCCTGGGAATCCTGGCCAGGAGAGGCAGGAGGTCACCCGCAGGGTCTCACGGTGCTACGGGCACAGGCCCCAACCTTAGTCTGTGGCCGGGGTTGTCCGTGTTGGGCAGCTCCCAGGACACTCTGCCCCCAGGCTGTTCTGGGTGGGCCGTGCTGCAGGCAGAGGTCCCGAGGCAGGCCGGCTGCGGGCAGCGGCTCCCCTGCCAGGAGTAGCAGTGGCCGGAGCTCAGACCTCAGGGCTGCCTGGAGGCTCCCAGCAGAGGTTGCCGCAGCCCCAGCAGCAGCATCTGGGTTGTGGGAAGTCGGGCTGGGGGCCCAAGGTGGGGCAGAGCCTGGCCGGCTGCTGAGTGATGGCAGTGCTGCCTTTGAGGGGCGCAGGGGGCTGGGGCTCCATGTGAGATGGCTCCCGCTCGGCCTTGACTGCCAAGAAGGTGGCCAGGTCGAGGTCCAGCATGGCCACCCCTCCACGGGGCGTGGGCGTGCTCTGGCGGCACTGCGGGCAGGGGATCCAGCGCTGCTCATTGGTCCGTGTGTCCAGACGCCGCACGCACGCCTGGCAAAACGTGTGGCCACAGTAGAGGCGGCGTGGCAGGTGCCCGGTGAGGTCGTAGGCCGAGTAGCAGATGATGCAGTCGCCCCGCCGGGTCCCAGCAGCTGTCCCCTCCTCGGAGGCCTGGGGACCTTCTGGCTGCAGCATCCTGGGGGAGGTGAGCAGGGGAGCTGCAGCCACCCCGCTGCCTCTGTGACAGCCCCTCATGGGCGGGCCCGGCACCGGGAGCCCACTCCAGAGAACAAGAGTCCAGGTTTCTGCAGACCCGGGAGGGTGAGTGGTGGCCGGTGGGGCCAGCAGACGCCAGGCTCTGGGCACAGCCTGGGTTCCCATGGCTGCTGGCTGAGTAGCATCCTGTCCCCCTGTTTGGTCCCTCTCAGTGGCCTTCCTGCTCAGCCCCCACCCATGCCAGCCTGCCTGAGCCCCAGGGCTCTCTTACCTGCACCGTCCGCTCTGCTGGGTGGTATGCCCAGCCAGAGGGTGGCCAGGGGTGGGGGGGACCCAGGGCGCCCTGCGGCTCCCTCCCTGGGGCTCGCATTACTGGCCGAGCCCGGCCGAGTCAGCTGGTGGCTATGGGCAGGCGTGGGCTCCCCTTTCAGCCACAAAGCGCTTGCAACTGGATCCACCACAACCACCATCACTGCAGGAGATAAGGTGCCCCCCACTCAGTCCTGCCAGCCCCCTCCGTGCCCAGACCCAGGCCGGGCTCTGATGCTGTGCTCTCCACGGCCTCTCTTCTCGCCTTGCCCGCCCAAACCCGCCCCCATCATGCTCGCCCACATAAACCTGGCCTCGCCTTGGGTGACCGACGCATGTTCTTCAGCTTTTGGTTCAAGCATTGCCTCCTCCAGGAAGCCTGCCAGGACCCCCACTGACTAAGATCCCTGAGGGCTCTGCTCCTCCGCAGCTCAGTCACAGTGTGCATGTCCCTATTGCTTTATCCCGACATCTTCAATCCTGCCTGGGCTGGGTCTGTCATGTTCTCATCACAGGGTAGTAGCCAGCCATGCAAAGCCCCAAGAAGGCGCTCAAACACAGGTGTGGAGATCCCCACTCACACCCAGGGACCACCCAGAAGCTCTCTGAGGCACAGGGCGCTTTGGGCAGCCCGGGCTGCCTGCATCAGAGGCCACCTCTCCTGGCATCTGCCTGGCTGCAGCCCGGGGGCCAGCCTAGTGACCGGGCCAGGAGAAAGGGGTGTGTCAAGAAGGGAGGGATGTGTCAAGAAGAGTCAGGATGGGGTCCCAGGACCCTCACCACCTGGCTGGGAGGGAGCCAAGGGCCAGAGGGGCCCCTCCTTATTCCTATCGCCCTGGCAGTCTGCAGCCTCCCGGACTGGTCAGACGGGTTTCTGTGGCTGGCCTGGGTGGGGTCACCCTCTGGTGGGGGCTGGCCATGGCGCAGAGGCCGGGAGTCTGGCACACGTGAGTCCCTGCACAGTCAGGCCAGTGACATATCGGCCCACACCCAGAGACTGGTCCTGCTGTGTGGTCAGTCACCATGGGTCAGAGGAGGGCTGGCACCAAAACCCGTCTGTCCTGTGAGCCCGGCTTGGCTTCCTACTCCAGCCATCTCTGCCCGGCCCTGGAAACTTCAGGGTGCCAGGGCTGGCCTCACCACTCGCTCCTGGCCTCACCCCAGTGGTGAGACAATGCCAGCACTCGCCACCTCAGCTCCTGCACGCCCCTGACCAGGCATGCCATGCTGCTCGGTCAGATGAAGGGCCAGGCCTGGCCCAGGACCTTCTCTGCCCACCTTCTCCAGGAAGCCCAGGTCCCGGAGGCAGGACAGTGGGTGAGCAGCATGGCCTGGGTGCCGCACAGCAGATGTTCAGATGTTTCAAGGGAAACCAGAAGAACGCCTCAGTGAGGTAGGGCAGTGACTCACGGGTGGCAGGGCTTGGTCCTGGCCGCCCGGGCTCCCACTCCCAGAAACTCGCCAGCACCAGTCCCACCCACCACCATCCTGCCAATTTGATCCTCCTCCTGGAGGCCTTTCCTGTGGCTCCACACCCGGGTTCCATACACGGCATCCTCCTGCTGTCTGACTCAGGGACTGCCCTGTCTCCCAGGTTCGGCCTTGGCCCTGGAGAATGCAGAGTAGCTTGAACCCAGGCCTGGCCGGGCCAGAGCAGGGGACACACTCTCGCCCCTCCTGTCCAGCCTCTGGGCAGACCTGAGGCCTGCAGCGCAGCTTAGAGTGTCATGAGGCAGTGGCTTCCCCCGACTAAAGTCCCAGAGGCTGGGGGCCTGTGGTGTGGTCCAGTCTGGGACCCATCCCGAAGGGGGCAGCAGCAAGGGAGAAGAGTCGCCAGAACAAAGCTCACTGTACTTTATTGCCTGGGGCCTGGGCCTTGAGGGAGGTGGTCAAGGGTGTCCCCGGAGGCTGCCATCCTGGCCAGTGCCCAGGGCTCCTTTTCAAGGGGCCTGAGCAGAGATGTTGGCCTTCTTGGTGAGCAGTTGTCCTTCTCCAGGCTGGAAAGTGGCTGATGCCCATGACAGTGGCCCAGTGGCTTCCCCAAATGTCCAGGCCCTGCTGTGGCCGCCTGAGCAGAGAATGGGGCCTGTTGTGCTAGGGGTCCTGTGGCAGGCCCCCCAGCCCGGTGAAGGCTGGGCTAGGAGACAACACAGCAGCTGTGGCAGCGGCAGAAGCGAGGGCAGTGGCAGCAGGAGCAACAAGGGCAGCAGCAGCAGTGGTGGGCGATGTCGTCACCACGCCCAACAGGTGGCAGGCCAGCATAGGTCAGTCCTGCAGGGCGCTGCTCACTGCCATAGGGGTTGCCGGGCTGCTGCCAGGCTTGCTGGCCCTGGACAGGCGCGGCCCCTTTGGCCCCCTTGGCGCCCTTGGGCCCTAGGGCCTCCTCGGTGGGCTGTAGGAGTCGGGTGGGCTCCGGGGTGCAGGACCCCACAGGCAGAGGCTGCGACTCCGAGGAGGGAGCCACCTCCAGCTGCTGCTCCAGGTCAGGCCGCAGGTGAGCCCGGGGGATGCTGATGTGGGAATACGGGTTCTTGACGACCATCTCGTGGGGATCCATGGCCCGGCCTGGCAGGGGTGGGCAGAGGAGACCAGATTGGCTCACTGGAGGGGAATGGCTGCAGCCCAAGAAAGCCCACCCTAGGAAGAGCCAGGCTGTGAAGATACAGAGTATGCGAGGCCTGTGTGTCAGCGTGTGTGTTCAAGGCCTGTGTGTCAGTGCGTGTGCATGGGGCTGAGCCGAGGGTGAGGGAGCGGGAGGCCGGTGTCTCCCAGCCACCCCCCAGGTGTCCTTCCCCTCCCAGAGTGGCAGTGCCCTGCCCGGAGCAGGGACTGGCCTGGCAGAGGCTGGGAGATGCAGCTGAGCTGGTCCCATGGGAGAACCCAGTGTAGGGAAGGCCCTCGGCCTAGGACCCACCTGAAGTGGCGATGGCAGCAGTCTGTCCTCTTGTCCTCTGGGCCAGGTCCCAGTGCCTGTGAGCTGAGCCACCAGCAGCCGCCTTTTCCCTCCTGGGGAGGGGCGGGGCCATGGGGCGGTGCTCAAAGATGGGGTTCCCAGGATCTCAGGAGGCCCCTGCTCCTGAGCACAGGCCACTGCCCACCCGTGCCTCTCCGGTGGGCGGCAGCCACCAGTCCCGGTGACTCAGCCTCGATGCATCCAGAGCATGCCCTGGGCCCTCCAGGGATCTGCAGTTCACCAGGAACAAGGGCAAGAGGTGAGCCTGCCGTCAGGCCCTCAAATGCCAGGCCTGCAGATGGTCTGCCGACCCTAGCCATCACTCACACACCTCAGAGCCCCTGCTTTGGGGCAGAGGTCAGAGGTCCTCCCTGGAACCCATAGCCTCTACCTGGCAGACAGAGACCAAAACGGTGAGAGCACAGACTACTAGGAGGTTTGCTGTTTTTTATCTGATAAATGTTTCATTTACACAGCTTTGCCAATAAAACTTACCTTACAGTTGGCGACATGGGCTTCATGCACAAGTGACATTTCCAGCTCATTTCTGAAACTGCACTTTCTCTCTGGTTGGTGGGCTGGGGGCAAGTCCGCCCCCGCGTTCCCATCCTCGGCCCTCGGACCCACTCCCACTTTCATCTGTAAGGTGGCGCAGAGCGCCCGCCACACAGGGTAGCTGTGTGTGGGGTGACGATGGCTGTGATCACTGGGATCTGGGCCTGGCACTGGTGAGCAGCCCCTGGGGCGGCCGGGGCAGTGGGGTGCTGCCCGGACCCGCACCCCTATTCCTTGGCGCCTGGGGAAACCCCCAGGAAGGGCGGGATCAAGTCAGACGTGGCCCAGAGGTCAGGGTGACCGGGTCCTGCGTGAGGCCGGTTAGACCGGTCTGGACACGAGTTCTACCGATGCGGCACCGGATGTGGGGAACCGGGCCCGGGACCCCAGACTTGAGAGGTGGCCGACAGAGCCCACTGCGCAGGCGCCATAAACCCCGCCCCTGCAGACTCCGCCCCTTGCTGCTAGGTGAGGGCTAGCGCATGCGCGAAACAGACCTGGGGCGGCCGGTGGGAACTTTATTCCCCAGAAGCCTCCGCGCTCGAGGGTTCCCCTAAAGACCTGGTTCGGGGTCCGCTGGCCTCGGACGGTCCAGGACCCGGCTTGGGCCTCCCCAGCTCTGGACCGCGGGCTCGGGAGGCGCGGACTCGGGTGGGCTCGGAGTCGGGGGCGCTGCACGGGGCGGGACCTCATCCCTAGGGGCGGGGTGCGGCCTCGGGGGAGGGGTGGGACCGGGTGGCTGGTGCCTCCTGTGGTGCGCACCCAGGGTCGGTGGGCAGCAGAGCACGTGGCCCAGGCTGGACTCCCAGCCCTCCCCTGGCCTGGGCTGCCTCAGTTGCCCCACCTTAATGCCAGGGCCCCATAAGGCCTTCGCTGTCCATCCCTCCCGCCAGGCTCCTGCTCTCGCTGAATGGCGGAGGAAACTGAGGCCCAGACACTAGCCCGAGGTCACACAGTCGTCAAGTCCGGCCCTCTGGGGCACGGACGCTCCTCCAGCCTGTCCTACCTACGCGGGCTCCCTCACTTGGAACACCGACCTCTCTGGGCTCTGCTGGCCTGCAGGACACGGGCTAGGCCTAGCCAGGTGCAGTCTGGCCTGTACGGAGGAGAGGGGTCTGTGGTCAGAAGGGGCTGGACTGTCTAGGGTCAGGTGCAGAGCCCAGGACTGGTGTGGTGGCTGCGGCGGGTCAGGGGACAGCACTCTGGAGGCCCCTGCAGCCCTGGCCCCCGGCCTGTTGTTGCCAGCATGTCCTTCCTCCTCCCTCTCACCTGAGGGCTCCCCACAGACGCAAGGTGCATCCCAGGGGAGCAGGGAAGCCTGGCCTCACCAGGAAGCAGAAAGGAATGGGGCCTCTGCTGGGTGGGGTCAGGTTAGCACACAACTATGTGGCAGCAGGACACGTGCTGACCTGATGGGATGCCGGAAAGGGCCACCCCACCCTGGTAGGTGTGTGTCCTCCGTGGGCTGCTCCACTGCGGCCTGTCTAGCCCGTCTGTTTGACCTTCCACATACGCCTCACCCCACCCATCTGTCCAAACGTCCTGTCTTTGGAGCCTTCTCCCAACCACGGCCCCTGCATCCTTCCACTCCTCTGATATCAGCTTGCCCACCCCCACTCATCCACTAATGGTCACCTCGGCCTCTGAGCCTGCCAGCGCTGGGGACAACCTGGGTGCACCTGTGAGCAGGGAACTCCAGAGGCATGACCACTGGGGGCAGAGTGGAAGGACAAGCAGATACCCTGACTCCCCGGGGGCGACACAAGGCAGTCCAAGGGTGGGCCCCTGGGAACCAGCTTTTCTCCCACCACTCTGGGCTCCCGTCCCCTTCCTCCCTCTGGCATTGTGAGGCATCGGGCTGCGAAAAGCAGGATATCCCTTCCAGAGTTGGAGGGGAGGCTTGACTAGGACCCACGGTCAATCAGGGGAGGACGGGTGGGGAAGGCTGGAGAGGGGGGACGCGGGGGTCGGCGGCGGATCGAGGGGCGGCCGAGAGACTGGCCCCGCCCCGCGGACCCCGCGCGGGTCCCCAGACGGGGGGTGGCGCTGCGGGCGCGGGCGGGCGCCGCGCGCACTGCGGTCCCCGCGCCTCCGCCGCAGAGCGCGCCACGCTCCGCACGCACCTGCCGCCGCCGCCGCCGCCGCCGCCGCCGCCGCCGCCGCCGCGCCGAGCCCCGCGCCCGCGCCCGCGCCCAGCGCCCCGCGCCCCCAGGAGCCGCCGCGGCCGCGCCATCGCCCGAGGTCGCCGCGGAGCCGCCGGAGCCGCGGGAGCCGCGGGAGCCGCCGGGCCGAGGCGCGGGCGCCGCATCGGGGCCTGCCTTTGAGACAACCTCTGCGGCGGCGGCGCGCGGCCCGGGGACGCCAGGCTGGGGCAGGTGAGCGCGGGCGGGGCCAGATGGCCGCGGGGTCGCAACTCGCCGCCCCTCCCCACCCGGGCAGGGGTCGCGTCTCGGGGGCGGGGACTGGGGAGGGGCTGGGTTCCCAATCTAGCGCGGGTCGGGGTCAGAGGTCGGGCGCCTGGTCTTTTGTGCAAGGCGTGGGTGGGGGTGAGGGTGGGTCCGGGCGCTGCTTTCACGCTGTCTCTCACCTGCAGCTCCGGCCTGGTCCAGGCCTCTCCGCTCCCGTCGCCGCCGAGCCCGCGGCCGGGGTCCACCCGCAGCCAGGGCTCAGGCTAACTGCCTTCCCTGGGCGCCCTGTCCTGGAGCCATGGGGCCCACCTAGCCCCTGCCTGCCCGGATGTCCCGGCCCGGGGACTGCTGACCTCGGCTGCAGGGGGAGCCCCCCCCACGCCCCCTCGCCATCCTCAGCAGCTGGAGACCCTGGGTGAGCCCCTGGGCCAGACCTCCAGCCCAGGGCAGCCCCCCACACCCCCCTGCCCCCGCCTCCCTCCCCCTCCTCCGCCCCTTCTTCCTTCTCCTAGGACTGGACCAGAGAAGCCGCTGTGGCCACTGGGGGGTGCCCTGCCGCCCCAGCTCTCACCAGCAGCCCCCAGGAGTCCACAGGGCAGCCCGGGTCCTCACCAGGCCTGGCAGGACCAGGATGCTGCCCCCTCTCCTCCCTCCCGGCGCCACCCAACGCCCCTACCCACCCAAACACCCAGTCTGACAGGAGACAGCCGGATGCCGTCTGACCTTGGGCCCGAGGGGGGCAGTGGCTGGCCGGGCCTCCTCATGTCCTGCCTGAAGGGCCCTCATGTCATCCTCAAGATGGAGGCCATGAAGATTGTCCACCCTGAGAAGTTCCCCGAGCTGCAGGCGGCCGCCCCCTGCTTCCCACCTGCACCCCGGCCCACCCCTGCTCTGGCACCCAAGCGCGCCTGGCCCTCAGACACGGAGATCATCGTCAACCAGGCATGTGGGGGGGACATGCCTGCCCTGGAAGGGACGCCCCGCACCCCACCTCTGCCACGTCGGCCCCGCAAGGGCAGTGCAGAGCTGGGCTTCCCCCGAGTGGCACCGGCGGATGAGGTCATCGTGAATCAGTACGTTATCAGGCCTGGCCCTGGCACCTCGGGGGCCTCCGCCGTGGCAGCACCGGCTGCAGGGGAGCCCCTGGAGTGCCCCACCTGCGGGCACACGTACAACGTCACGCAGCGGCGGCCCCGGGTGCTGTCCTGCCTGCACTCTGTGTGTGAGCAGTGCCTGCAGATCCTCTATGAGTCCTGCCCCAAATACAAGTTCATCTCCTGCCCCACCTGCCGCCGCGAGACTGTGCTCTTCACTGACTACGGCCTGGCCGCACTGGCCGTCAACACGTCCATCCTGAGCCGCCTGCCCCCCGAGGCGCTGACTGCCCCGGCCGGTGGCCAGTGGGGGGGCGAGCCCGAGGGCAGCTGCTACCAGACCTTCCGGCAGTACTGTGGGGCCGCCTGCACCTGCCACGTGCGGAACCCGCTGTCTGCCTGCTCCATCATGTAGCACCTGCCCGCCCGCCACTGCCCGCCATTCTCACTCGCCGCTTGGTCAGGGATCTGGCCCTGCCCTGTCACTCGCTGACCCTCGCTCATCACAGCTTCTGGCCCCTACCCATGTGGCATTGTCGCTGCAGCCAACTTTGCCATTAAAACTCTTTGCCAAAGTTTGCACCTTGTTCCCTGAAGCCTGCTCTTGTGCCCTGTGCCCAGACCTGGGCCAGGGGGCCACTGAGAGCCGCAACCCAGACAGGGTCCAGCCTGGAGCTGCCAGAGGGAGGCCCAGTGTGCTTGGGGTCAGCCTGCTCTGCTCGCTGGGGGCCAGGCTGGGCCCGGCATGCCCCTCAGAAGGGCTGGGCCTGCCAGTGTGTGTGTGTGTGTGTGTGTGTGTGCGTGCGCGCGTACGTGCGTGCGCATGCGTGCATATGTATACGTGAATGCTTCATACATCCATGCAGAGCCAGCAGGCTGTGTGTGCTGGGCAGCACTGAGTGGGCAGGTGTGCAGATAGGGCCTAGCTGGGCAAAGGGAGGATGTTTCCTCTGCACTGGCCACTGAATGTGGGGGACAAGTCAGTCTGCTTGGCTCTTGGTGCCCACCTGGGCCTCTGAGGTTGTGTGGGAATGGCCCTTGGGCCAGTCTGAGTTGGGGTTGGGACCAGGACTGGCTGTGATCGTGGTGAGGTACGAGGACCCAGGGGCCTCCTGTCTGGAACTCGGACGACCTGGATTTGGAGATGGAGGAGAGTGGAGGAGAGCCACCTGGATGGTGAAGACAGAGTAAAGGTGGTGGTGACAACACAGGAGTGACAGCTCCAAGGCAGCTGTTTATTGAGAGTTCTTTCTAGTGCCAGGCACAGTGCTCAGCGTGGCCCCAACCAGTCCAGGAGGCAGCGCGGACTGTGTCCGTCCTTCAGACAAAGGCCCCAGGATCGGCAATGTGAGGGTGCAGGGCAGTCAGGGGCCTCAGCCTGCATGCTCTGGCTCCGAGGCATGGCTGGGCCCTTGTCCTTTGACCTCAGGGGCTTGTGCTGGACCCCCAGCCGCTTGGGCCCACCCCCTTGGGTCCTGACCCGGCCGGGAGGAGGCCCTTTGTGGGCTGAGCTTGCACAGCAAGGGTCCCTCCCCTTGGCTGCCGTGACCTTCAGAGAACACACACTGGCCCTTATCTGGAACACGGGTGGCAAGGGGGCGGGGGTAGGGGGCCTGCAGGTGCCTCTGCCCAGGGCCCCACCCTCTCCAAGGAACCTGCACTGTTCACTGTCGTGTGGGCTGTGCCCCCTTGCAGACGGGCCTGGCTTGGGGTGGAGACGGCCCAGTGTCAGTATGATGTCTGTCCATTGAGGTGCCTGGTCACAGACCTCCTCCAGCGTTGTCCTTGGGCACTGGTGGCCAGTCTCTGGACAGCAGGGAGGTTTGGAGTCTCTGGCTGGGTCAGGCGCTGAACACAGGCTTCTGGGTGGCCCTGGGTCCCAGTCTTGGGTCTTGATTGAAGGTTAGTGCCCTGGTCAACCTTAGGCTTTCCGGCCTGGTCATCAGGCCTCAGGGCAAGATGCTCCCAAGGCCCTGTGGCACTGAGGCTTCGGGACGCGGCAACCAGTCTGGGCCTTCTGGTCTGTTGGTGGCAGGGCTATCCAGGCATGGGTGCTGCTCAGCGGCCGGAGCGGTCCAGCAGCATGAAAAGCAGCCCCAGCAGCATGAGCGGCATGAAGATGAGCAGCAGCCCCAGCAGCTCGAGGGCCAGCAGGCCCAGCAGTGCCAGGCGGCGGGCACAGGGCCCTCGTCCCCGCAGGGCCCATAGCCGGGCGCCTAGGCAAGGCGGGCAGGGCAGGAAGGGCAGGCAGCCCCGGCCGCCCACACGCCCTGCCAGGAAGCGCAGCTGGTAGCGGTGCTCTAGGGAGGCCCAGGGCCCAGGGCCCCGGCGGGGGGGCGCTGGGGGCGTGGGGGGCGGGGGGCGCTGGGGCCCGTCGGCCTGCAGCAGCTGCTCCTGCAGCCGGCAGATCTCCCACTCGAGCATGGGCGTCTTCTGGCGACACAGCGGGCAGCGCACGCGGCCCAGGTCGGCGCTGGGGGCCGTGCCCAGCAGCCGGTGCAGGCAGCCCACGCACAGGCCGTGGCCACAGTTCAACAGGGCCAGGCGGCGCTCACTGGGCCCATAGGGCTCCGTGCAGATGGGGCACTCGTCTTCCCCTTGCTCCTTCTCCTTGTCCTCCCCCAAGGACCCGGCCCAGGGGCAGGCTGGGGCTGTGGCCCCCAGCAGGGGCTCACTGTCCGGAGTCCTGGCACCCTGGGAGCTCCCCAGAGCCCCACTGTCCAACCCTTCATCTGCTGGCACTTGGCGCAGTGGGTCCAGGCCCTCAGAGCCGAGGGAGGCCGAAGGTGGACTGGCAAGCCCAGAGCTGGGGTCAGCAGGGCCGTAAGTGGGGACCCAAGGGCACAGTTCAGGGGTGGGAGCCCGGAAGCAGGAGTCAGGATGGGTGGGCTGGGACCCCAGGGTGGCGACGGGGTGGCTGAGGCTGGGAAGGTCAGCGTGGTCCTCAGGGGCTGGGGCAGGGTCTGGCACTGACCTCGCAGCAGCTGCCGCTTCCTCCGGGCTCCGTGCCCCACCGAAAGTAAACTTCGCTTGGGCCCCAGCGCTGTGCCAGCTCCAGGCGACCCCTGGGCCAGCTTGTGCCATCCCCACCTGATCCGCCCCAGCCAGGCCGCAGCCACAGCCTACTTGTGTCAGTGACTGACCGACAGACAGACTGACTCCAGGCAGCAGTGCTGGGCAGGCCAGCCTGCCTGACTCCTCCGACAGGAACTCTCCTCCCAGAGCTGAAGGCCCCTCCCAGGGGCTGGGACAGCATCCACCCTCCCCCTCCTGGCCACACCCCCTCCGCCCTCCTCCACCCTGTCACACCCCCTACCTCCTGGGCCTCACCCCCTCCCTGCCGGACCTGGCCCAGGGCCTTCCCTTTCCTTCCTTCCTTTCCAGGGCCCCTCTCCAGGACCCGCATGCTTGGCTGTCAGAGCCAGAGTCAAGCTTGTACAAGGCGGGCAAACAGCTGGTGCCCCATGTTAGAATCAGGAACCACAGGCGGGCCACCCCACCACTTGAGGCACCAGGACAAGCACAAAAAAAAGCAGGTCAGAAGCAGCCACTCAGAGCCCACAATTTATTGCTGAGGCTTTCCCAGAACCAGACAAAGAACATGTGTGCTGGGTGGGCCTCTTCCCGCTGCTCGGGGTCCTTGCTGTCTTCAAGCCCAAGCCTGAGCCCTGTGAAGCCCAAGATGGTACTGAGCACTTCGTGGTACGGCATGGAGATGTAGCAAAAGGTGACTGGTAACCCACTGTCCCCCAGGGCAGAGGAGGGGGCATTTGGCCTTCCCAGGGACCCTGCACCCCAGATTCCTAGGCTTTCTGAAAGCTGGCATCTGGGCAGGTCCCCTGATGCCCATCAGGCTGCCAGTAGCTTCTTGGGTCCTGTGCAACCCAGGGCAGCACTCTGACCAGGACCCAAGTTGGAGCCAGTGGGGACAGGCCAGTAGTAACCTGGAACCCTGGACAAGGCGGGTGGATTCAAAGCTGGGTAGAGTGGGGTGGGGTGGGGTGGTAGTAGGGCAGCGGGGGTCCAGGCTGAGTGTGGGACCCTGGGTGGACTGGAGTGCGGCTGTGCAGGAGGACTGGCCATCCCCCGCCTGGGATCACATAGGGCGGGAGGAGACAATGACCGCCCCAGCAGGATGGCTTCTCAGGCCCACGTTTCAGTCTGGAAACGCAGTGTCCGCTGCAGCCTGGCAAGGTAGGCAGCGGCGTCAGGGCTGGAGAGCCCGCCCTCCTCCTGGAAGATGGACATCAGGGCTTCTGACACATCCACTGGCATGTACTTGGCATTGCTGGAGGGACAGGCCAGAGGGGGCTCAGTGAGGCTGGGACCCTCAGAGGGCTGGCTCCCACCCAACCCATACTCAGGCTCACCCTGCGAGGTAGAAGTAAGCACCCTGGTGGTCCAGCAGCTCCCACACCAGCGGCCCGAGTTCCCGGAGCCGGTGCTGCACGTACACCTTCTGCTCCTGCAGGCGGGGCACACGGGGGTGAGTCTGTACCCCCAGCCTCCCGCCCCAGGCTCCCCCGCCCCTGCTCTTTGCACACCCACCTGCTCCCGGGAGAAGGCTGTGACCAGGGTCAGGCAGCCCCTCTTCTCCAGCTCCTTCCACTCGGGCTCCCAGTAGAAGTCCTGGTCCCGCTGGCGGCAGCCGAAGAACAAGAAGTTTCCTGGGGAAACGCAGGGTGTCCTCGAGTCTGGACTTGAGCCTGTGAGGCTCAGCCTGGCCAGCCCAGCCACCATCCTGCCCTGGGCCCTCTGCACTCACTGGTCTGACCCTGGGCCACACGCTCCTGGACAGTCGCTCGGAAGGGGGCCACACCAGTGCCAGGCCCCACCATGATCACAGGTGTGTCTGGTGTCTCTGGGAAGGTCAGGCTCCCAGGCCGCACCCACAGGGGCACCCGGACAGGTCCTATTGCAGGAGGGAAGCGCCTGAAAGAGGCTCGGAGGCCCAGAGCCCCAGCCCAGGACAGGCCATGGTGAGTGCAAAAGGGGGCTCAGGACCCAGACCCCACCCACCAGAGAGCTACGGTCACCTTGTCCAGGGTCCAGGGACGCCAGCCAGGAGGAGCAGAGGCCCCGGCGGGGCTCCTTGAGGCGTGTCTGGTACTGCACCACAGCCACGAGGATCTGCAGCCTCGAGGGGTGAGCCTGGGGGATGGGATGGTGGGTGTCCTGCCCCGGTGGGCTACCCCTGCCTCCCACCTCAGGATCAGCCAGGTGTGGGGTTGATGTCAAGGGTCAGGGGGCAGCCCCCCGCCGGTACACCAGGCCCTGCTGCCCCCCCAGAGGCCCCAGCCCTGGCTTCCCTGAGGCCGGTCCTGGCTCTCACCAGCAGGGAGGAGGCGATGGAGAAGGCCCGTGGCCGGATCAGGGGGACGAGGTCCAACAGGTAGTCTGGGGGGATGGCTCCAGCCGTGTGTGGGAAGTCGCACAAAACCTGCGTGGAGACAGTCTCAGAGGGCTGTGGCCAGCTCGGCAACACTGCCCACCTGCCCGCCCAGCCCCACCCGCACCTCCAGGACTGTCCTGCGGGGCCGGCTGCAGTACTCGCACAGCTCCTCCTGGCCTTGGGCAGAGCTGAACTCCAGCAGCTTCTCTCGCTCCAGCTTGTGGGGGGAGAGACAGGCCAGCAGCTCAAAGAAGGAGCGGCGCGGCACGCTGGTGATGTCCAGGTACTGGGACACAAGGCGCCGCACAGAGCAGGGCTGGGGCAGCTGCACGGGGCAGGGGACACCTGCAGCAGGGAGTGGGAGACCGTGGGGTGCCGGACACAGGGGAGGGCAGAACACGCTGTGGACCCCGAGGTAGAGGAGAGCGAGGGTGGGGGGCGGCCCGAGCTCCCGGGGTGCCCCTCCTCCCAGGGCTCCCACAGCTCCCAAACCCCCACTCTGGGGCCACACCTGGCTCCCGCGGCTGCAGTGTGAAGCACTGGTCGGGGTCCAGGCCCAGCAGCTGGCAGAACTGCTGGACGTGGGGGGCTATGTTCTTGGGCTGGATCAGCACCACATCGCCAGCTGTAAAGCTGTGAGGGGAGGACACCGTGACGGGGGGGAGCACCGTGAGGGGAGGACACTGCTCTGAGGGGAGGACGCTGTGAGGGGGGATGCAGTAGGGGGCACGCTGTGAGGGGAGGACCCTGTGCTCTGAGGGGAGGATGCTGTGAGAGGAGGATGCTGTGTGGGGAGGACACTGGGCTCTGAGGGGAGGATGCTGTGAGGGGAGGATGCTGTGTGGGGAGGACACTGTGCTCTGAGGGGAGGAGGCTGTGAGGGGGGACACTGTGCGGTGAGGACACTGTGCTCTGAGGGGAGGATTCTGTGAGGGGAGGACACTGTGAGGCGAGGACACCGTGAGGGGAGGACACTGTGCTCTCAGGGGAGGACACTGTGAGGGGAGGACATCGTGAAGGGAGGACAGACTGTGGGGAGGACACTGGCCTGCGTCCCCCCGCCGCCTTGGTGGTGCCCTCCACGGGTCCCCAGACCGGAAAGGCTGCTCACTTGGTGTCTTGGCCCCTCACCTGAGCCCAGAGCCTGTGATGTCGAACTCGATCAGGCGAACATCCTGGAAGTGCAAGGGGCCGGTGACCCTCTGGTTGGAGACCATGGGTGCGAGGAAAGGGTGCAGCTCTGAAGGGGGATCCTGGGGGTCCATCCTGGCCACATGCTGCTCCTCAGAGTGTGTGACGGGGGCCTCCTCCAGAAACTGCAAGGTGAACTTGGAGGGCAAACTGTGGAGGGTGCACACTCGTCAGGCTGTCGGCAGGGCCTGGAGGAGCTGCCCCTCGGGAGGCCCCTAGCCCACACTCACGGAATGCCAGTGGGGATGATGCCCAGGTCGAGGGGCACTGGGTGCAGGTCCAGCACCTTCTTCCACAGGTCGTGCAGCCAGGGGTCAATGGCGGCATCGGGCCTGGAGAGAGCACATGTGCACTGGTCTCAGGGGACCCTGCTCATGCTGGGCCCTCAGGGGGCCCCCCCTTCCACACTCACCCCAGCTCATGCTGGTCATCGCCCAGGCACATGGGCAGCAGGGCACTGCCCCCGAGCTGCAGCAGCCGTCGGTGTAGCTTCTTGGCCACAAAATTGAACCTGTGCAGAGAGTGCAAGGCTGGCCCCGAACCAGGCCCTGTGCAAGGCAGAGGGCAGAGCCCCACAGGGGCCCCGAAGAGACCTCCGGCATGATGGATGCTCAATCCCGGGGTCCCTGGAGTGTGGGGGGTTCCTCAGATCTTTCTGGGGTCTTTCTGTTCTCACTGCCAACTCCTTAAATGGCAGCTCCTCCCAGGAATGCTGGTGGCAGTAGGGGCTCCCACCCGCCCTTGTGTCTGTGGGCACGTGCCCCAACGTGAACGAATGCCTACATTCAGCACAGAACAAACGCCCCAGGAGATGAAGGTCACCCTGTCCCCCATTTTCTGTCTTTTCACCTGCGCAATCATGGGCCTCCTCCTGCCGTGTCCAGCTTTGGAGGCGTCCATACCCAACGACCCCTCCCTCAGCCCATGTGCTGGACAAGCAGGGGTTTCAGTGACAATGCCATGCATACCCTTGAACACAAATTCCTCAGGACTTCCTTGGGGAATAATGCAGAGCAATACTACTCTTTGCTTAAAACACAGATATGTCATGATGATGTTGAAAGAAAAGGGAGCAAAGGTGGCCACTCTGCCATGCCCAGGGACATGGTGGCCTTGGGGGGCTCCCGGGGTCTGGGACTTTTCCACGTCTGCCGCCTACCCCACTGTGCTGTTCTCTGTGCTCTCTGTAAGCCCAATTATCTCACGATCATATCTCACAAACATCTCACATGGTTTCATAAAAATGGGGAAAGAGTGGGAGGACCTACGTTGTCTCAAGTCATATGAAGACATATGGCGCTGGCTTGTCTCAGGGCAGCTGCACACTGGCTAAGGCCCTGGATGTCCAGATTCAGACATCACCTCCTGCCTTGAAAGATGCCTCAAGCATACCCCCGAGCCTGGCCTCCACTTTGCTGCCCTGCCTGCCTCTTTGAGCCCCCAGGGCCCCTGGGCCTGGAGGAGGCACCCACTAGGGAGTGTCTGTGGGACCAGGATGCACAGCCAGGGCCACGGCCTGAAGTCTGGTGGGAGCCTGGGGGCTGGGTCACATGTCCCTCTGCCAGGATACTTTGTGCTCAACCTTGAGGACAGTCCCCTCAGGCCAGCAGCCCGCCCACCCCGACTCACTTGGCGTAAGAGGAATCCCCAAGGCCCAGGACAGCAAAGTCCATCTGACAGAGGGAGGTCGACGGTAGGTTCTTCCGGAATATGAACCTCCAGAAGTTCTACAGCCAGAAGAAACCCAGTTAGCAGCCTCAGGGTTGGGTGGGGAGGGCCTGTGTCCTGGATCTTCCCAGAACTCTGCTTTCCTGCTCTTTAAGAGCTTTGTCATCAAGACAACAACACCAGTTTTTATTCCACCACAATGGAAAAAATTTGGAAAAAGGCAGAAAATCGACAAAGAGTAGATGATGTCCCAGAACTACCACCAGAGTGTTGGGCTCCACTCCTTCCCGGGGGAGAGGGTGCTGGGAGCAGGTGCACCTTCTCACCTTGGGGGGCAGGCTGGAGGATGGCCCTGACGCTCACCAGGGAGGTGCCTGCTACCGGCTGCTCCCCCTCAGCTCTCCCCAGGGTGGAGGAAGCGCCTGCTCCTACTTGGGTTGGCCCCTCTCCTTCAAACCAAGAGTCCGGTGTCCCGAGGGCCCCTCGGTTCTCAGCCCTGTCACGGACTGGGGCCTCTGCAGCCACAGAAGAGGCTCTGGGCTGAGCTGGCAGAGCTGGCAGCCCCTCTTCGGTCCTAGCCTCACCTCAAAGGGTGGAACTTCCTCCCTTTGGAACCTCTTTCTTGGCCCTGAGCCACCATCAGGCCACTCCACACGAGTTCCCCATCCCCACGGCCCCCACCTGACCCTGTATGCTGGATGAGGACCCACATCTGTCCCCATTCCCTGTGCACCCTCACCTCCATGCATCCAGCCATCCCAGGGGGCCTTACACACAGACCCGCGAGGTCCAGGCCCCAGTCCCTCTCCTGCCACCACAGGCTCACCCACCAGGTGGCCCTGGTCAGAGCACGTCCTGTTCCACAACTTGACCTGGGCTCCCTGCAGACCTTGAGGCGCTTCTAAGAAACAGTTTCACATCACCTTCAGCCCGTGGAGACCTCAGCCCCTCGACACTGGCCTCTGTGTACGGTCCAGAGGCCTGCTGGGGTGGAGGGACCCTGGCTCTGCCCGCCTGCCCTGGAGTGCCCCCTGGTCTTCTCAAAGACTTGGCTGGATCAGCCGCCGCTGGGGACAAAGCGCTCTGCCTCCTGAGACCTCCCCTGCACACTCGTGCTGAGACCTGTTTCCTGCCGCCTGCAGAGAACCCCCTCCAGGTGCTTCCTGGTAAAGGGTCCAGGGAAGACACAATTCTCATGACTCTGCATGTCTGAAAATGCCGATTCTCCCCACACACTGACTGGCAGATCGGCAGGGCACACCTGGGGTTGAACCATCCTCCCTAAAAACCTGAGGCTCTGCTCTGAGCTGGCCCAGCTGGGTGGTCACTGCTGAGAATCCGGTGCCCCTCTGTGACTTGCTCTGTCCCCAACAGCTGAAACTCATGATGACGTGCCTCCATGGGAACCCTTTTCAGTCACCACCCACGGGGCCCTCCAGAGCATGTGGCAGGCTCTCAGGCTAAAGGCCGGGCCTCCGGTTCTGGGATGTTTTCCTATTTCCTTCATCATTTTCCCCCCTCCCTCTGCTCTCTTCTTCCTGTTCTGAAGCTACTGGAATGAGCTTAGAATTCTGGCATTTTCTTTCTGGTTTCCTATCTCATTTTTTGTTATACTTTTCGGTAGAATTTCGCAACTTTATTTTCTGATCTTTTAAGGTTTTCCCGACACTACTTTAAAGCACATTTTCTCAGCCTCCAGCTGGGCCCGTTGTGCGCATTCTTGTCCCATGGATGTGGAGTTCTCTCCCTTCTCTGCAGACACCGGTCCCCAAGTTCCCTAAGTGCTTCCCTTGGTCTCTGTCTCACTGGTGTCTCTCCTTGAGGGCATGGTGGTTCTATGTGGTCTATTTGTACTTAAGAGGCCGACAGAAAACCGTGAGTTTGGGCCTAGGGATCCAGCTACCCAGCCTTCTGCTGCGGTCACCCAGTTTCCCCAGAGAGGGCCCCTCTCGTCGGCTGCTGGCAAGGCACACCTGACCCCAGCACTCTCAGAGGACTGCAGCAAGCAGGCTGGTGCCTTCTTGTTTAGTATGCAGCCATCCCCAAACCTGGTTTCCAGCAGGAGCAGTGTCCCCGCCTCCATGTCCCTGGGCCCCTGGTCTACACACTCGAGGAGCCTCCAGTCCCTGCTGTGGTTGGGGAACCCCACTCCTGACCACCTCCATGAAGGTGTCCATCCCTGCACTCTTCCGTTCTTTATCCACCTTTGTCCCGGCAGGATCATCATCACCTTTGTTCTGCTGGCTTCCAGTGTCGAGATCACACCTCGGCCCTGACTGCCCGGCCTACTGACCTGATGGAGGTCTTTGTCCCCCCTCCCTTCCCACGCCCTGCATCTTCTGCACCCACCTTTCACCTCCTGCCTCTGATTCCCTCCGACTCACCTTCCCTCCCATCCTCTTCCTGTCCAAAGAGCCCCCTCTGCATGCACTGGGGCCTCCCCCTGGGTCTCCCACATCATCCTCACTCCAATCCCCTTCTTCAATCTTCACCCTCTTTCTCCCATCAGCATTTCAACAGGCCTGAGTCTCTCCCATGTTATAAATACCTTATTTTTAACCACTTAGCCCCATTCACAGCCAGAATCTCTTTTGAGTGGTTTAACGTATAGACATCCTTAAAAGACTATCTCCAATTACTCGCTTGTTGATCTCATGACCCTGGAATCCATCTTCTCTCCCTGTGAGCCACTGAAACTGCTCTCCCCCGCCCCCCGAGGTCACCAACAGTCCCTTTGCTGATAAACCCCACTGATGCCTCTCGGACCTTATCTTACTTGTCTCCAGTGCAGCTTTGAGTGCTGGAGACCTTCCTCTTGAATAGTCACCTCCCTGCCCTGGACCTTGGAGACGGCACACTCCTGCTGACCACTGTTGGGGCCACTTTCCTGCCCCCTCACAGGCTTTTCTCTAGCTCTGATGCCCTTGGCGTTTAGGGGGGCCTGTCCTAGGGGAGGGAGAAGCTTCCTTTCGCAGGCCTCTGAGCCAGGATCCTCATGTGAGCTACAGACCTACCACACATCTCCACCTGGACAGCTTCCAGGCACCTAGCCCTCCCTAGTCTCTTAATTCTGTGTGTGGAACCACCTTCCATGCTGGCACCCAAACCCAAATCCCTGTCTTGATTCCATCTTCTTCCTCTTCTGAGATCCATTTGAACGCATGTCCTGCCAAATCTACCTCCTTAACATCTCTGGAACATGTCCACTTTCCTCTGCTCTGCCACATCCTGGTCAGGCTGCTAGTCTCCTGCCTGCTCCATGCACCCCCATGTTGTTCTTGCTCTCCTACAGCCTGTCCCCATTGTGGACAAGAGGTTTTGCTAAAATACTAATGTGACAGTGTCACCCCTGTAGACTCCACGGCCTCACTGTGGCTGCCAGCTCCTTGGGATTGAGCCTGGCTTCCTGTCTCTCCTCTCCTCTCCTCTCCCACCCCAATGCACTCCTTGGCTCAGATCCTGAGCCACTTTCCACTATTCCCAGAGGCCAGGCTGTCTTTCGCCTCTGTGAGCACTGCTCCCTCTTTCCTGGTGCCTGGCTAGCCCCCACTCACCCTTTAGGACTTAGCCTACACTTAGTTCTTCCAGAAAGCTCTCCCTGAGACCCCAGGTTGGGCTAGATAGCCCTTATTAATGCTCCCATAACATCTGGCACCTTCCCCAGCAGTATGTAATTCCTCGCATTGTAACTGCCTGTTAAACTTGTTGCTTCTGCTATATTGTGAGCTCCATAAGAGTAGAAATGTGGCCATGGGGTTTATAACTGGATTCCCAGCACTAGATCATGCTTGGACTATCATGTGTGCTCAAACGGTGGTCAAAGAATTGGAGAATTTTCCCTGAAAGTCAAACAGTTTTGAAACACACACAAAACCCAGACCAGATTCATATATACCTGTGGAAAAATACGGAAAGTTAAAACGGAGAACAAGGCTATTTGGCAGCCTGCAAAGAGTTTATTAGGAAGCAGAGCACCCAGCTCCACCCAAAGACATCCTCCCAAACCCACGCTGGTGCAGCAGGTCTGGGAGGACAACTACTTATTGTGCTTCTGGACTCTCTAGGCAATGAAAACAGGGTGAGGGTCGAGGGCAGGGATCTGAGCTCCTGAGCAGAGAAAGTCCCTTCAGTCAGCCTTACCTTCATGTTGTCAGGGGGATCTCCTTGGCCTGTAGTTGCACAAACAAATATCACCAAGGGCTCATTAATCAGATTCACCTCAACGAAAAGACACACGTGTCAGACGTCGGGCTTTAGCGACCAGACATCCTCCCGCAGCCCCCTCTCCTTCACTCGGGGTCAGGGGGCAAAGGGACTCCGCACCCGCGAGAGCCGGCCTGTCTCCCCACTTCCAGGTCCACCCTCCAACCTGCCCCTTCTCCACGTGCTAAGCTGAGCCGCCGTTCCCAAGCTCGCCCGTCCCCTAAATCCGCTGCCACGGAAGGTCCCGCTTTCACACAGCGCGGCGCCCCGGGCCCGCTCGCTCTCCCCACCGAGGCCCAGGGAGCCCTCACCACCGGGTAGGAGTCCAGGGCCTGCACCAGGCAGCCGAGCCGCCGGCGCCGGGCCTCGCGGCCCAGCCTCTCCGACACATCCTGCGCCGTGCCTGTCTGGCTGCCGAAAAGGACCAGAAGCCGCGGTGTCGGCATCGAGGCTCGCCTCCGGACCCCAGCGCCCCGGAACCCCAGCAGCCAGCGCTCCCACGCTCTGGCGCAGGGCCGACCTCGACTTCCGGCTCCCGGCGTCGGCCGGAAGTGACGTCCTCAGGCCGCGCCCGGCGGGGCATGGCGTCCGAGCGAGGCTGGTGTCCGCTGGCGGCCAGTGCTGGGTCCCGGGCCGGGGCCGGGGGATCGGCGGCGCGCCGGGGCCGAGGGCCGGGGCAGGCGGGGCCGCTCGCTGCCTCTCGCTCGCCGCGGCGGCCACGGCGGCAGGCGCCGGCGAGGTCCGCGGGGAGAGGAGGCGCAGTCCGGCGGGTGGGCCGCTCGGCCGGGCCCGGGCCCGCGCTCAACCGGCGCGATGCTCTTCTCGCTCCGGGAGCTGGTGCAGTGGCTGGGCTTTGCCACCTTCGAGATCTTCGTTCACCTGTTGGCCCTGTTGGTGTTCTCAGTGCTGCTGGCGCTGCGTGTGGACGGCCTGGCCCCCGGCCTCTCCTGGTGGAATGTGTTCGTGCCCTTCTTTGCCGCTGACGGTCTCAGCACCTACTTCACCACCATCGTGTCCGTGCGCCTCTTCCAGGACGGAGAGAAGCGGCTGGCCGTGCTCCGCCTCTTCTGGGTCCTCACGGTTCTTAGCCTCAAGTTTGTCTTCGAGATGTTGTTGTGCCAGAAGCTGGTAGAGCAGACTCGGGAGCTCTGGTTCGGCCTGATCACGTCTCCAGTCTTCATTCTCCTGCAGCTGCTCATGATCCGTGCTTGCCGGGTCAACTAGCCTCGCAGAGGGGCGAGAGAGGGAGCTCTGGATAGCTAGAATTCTGGACCCCCAGCTGAGGTCCCACTTCCACCGCACCAGAGAAGAAGTCTAGGTCTGAAAGCAATGCCAGCTTGTGCCCTGCTGAGTGCCCAGTTTTCTCCATACCAATGTCTGAAATTGTTCCCTCAGCAGGGCTAAAACGAGCAGCCTTGCTCACTAAAATGTATTTCCTGTTATTTCATGCTTTGAATAGCTAATCCTGAGTTGAGATCTTGAGAAGGTCCCCAGGCCAGACAGTCCTGAACACCTCTGACAGTTGAAAACTGCATATAAGTGAAATGTTTTGATGGGCTCTGAGTATTTTCATGGATCCTGGGAAAGTGCCCCCTGTGCAAAGGCTGCAAAGCTGGACTCGGGGATTTCCTTTGGCCAGCAGTGCTGACCTAAGAGCTCACTGCCCCATTCATCCAGACATGACTTCCTTAGACACTTGAGTTCTAAGAAGTGTAAACCAGCTTCTGTCTCCTGCCCTGTGCCACTGGGGAGGATGGCCCTTTCTTCATTCCAGCCCAGACAGACAGGAGTATGTTGAATAAGCATGATCGGGACCCTATCTGGACATCTGTCACCTGAGAAAAGAACTTTGCTTTCAAGGCGCTGCTTGGCTTCCTATCCTAGTAGATTACAGTGTCATGACTTTTCCACCACCTTGTGGCCGGCACTGTTAGTGCACCTGAGACAGATTTAGGCTTCCCTAAGGGACCAGAGAGAGGAACAGGTGCTCTGATGCTCATGGGCATTGATACCTACAAATGGGAAGTTTGCAGATGGTCTCAGCCCAAAGCCTGAGGTCTTTGATTAGATGCTAGTCAGGTGCCAAATGAGAACATTTGCTGAGATAAAAATAAAATAAGAGAATGTTTTGCTGAAATGCACAGTGGTTGCCTGACTTCTTAAGGGTGAAATAAGATGAATGCTGAGACTCTCTTGCTGTATGATGTAGCTGGTTACAGAGCTGAGGTTTTAGGGGGGCTTGAACTCAGCTAGAGCTTCATGGGTGGATAGAGGGGGTGGAGAATCCCTGCTTCCTGCCTAGGGGCTGGGGTGAAGACAACGGGGTAAGCCTGTGTGGAGGACCTACCAAGTAGGTGTGACATCAGAACCTTGATTTCCTCCTGGTGTGTGGTCTTTGTGGGCCTTGTTGACAGTCTAGGGCAGGGGTCACCAAACTATGGCCTGAGGCCTGTTTTTGTGCTGCCCATCAGCTAAGAATGATTTTTACATTTTCCAAGGGTTGTAAAAATGAAGAATGTGTGACAGAAAGTCAATGTGGCTGTAGTGCACAGTCTCTCAGTCTTGGCACTGTGGGTCTTTGGGGTTGGATTATTCTTTGCTCTGTGTGTGTGTGTGTGTGTGTGTGTGTGTGTGTGGGCGGGCTGTCCTGAGCATTGTAGAGTTTAGCAGCATCCCTGGCCTCTACTCACTAGATTCCAGTAGCATCCCTCATGTGTGACAACCAAAAGTGTCTCCAGACATTGCTAAATCTCCTGGGGAAAAGACAGCCCTGGTGAGAACCACTAGGCTAAAATTCTGTCTGGCTCTTTCCAGAACAGGTTCGCAGACTCTTGTTCTGGTGAAGCAGCTTTGTGACCCTTTGCCTGGGATGGATGCTGCATGGCCTGAACCACTGAGATGCTTGACTTGGAGACTGGCCTGGTTTGCCCCACAGCTATAAGACTGTCTCCCACCGAGGATTGGCATAACTTGTGTCAAAGCCAGATGCAAGCTGAACCTTGGGAGTAGGTTTCCTTTTAGTCTTATTTTTAGGTTGCCTGTTTTGTTGTTCCCTGTTTTATTCTGGTAGTTCAGAATGAGATAATCCTGTTGGTGTGGAAGTGAACATAAGGCTTGGCTTCCTTTGGAAAGGTGGTTTGAGGAGAGTCTGGGGGATGAGACACTTGACTTCTGGAAGGCTGAAATCCAGTTTGTTTTCTGCAGCTTAATAGAGTGGGCAGGAGTAAGGCAGCAGTAAAGCGGTGGTAGCTGCAGACTGCCATGGGACCCAGAGGCTGCGAAGGGCACTGCAGGTGGAAACCAGCCCCAAGTCTTTGCAGAGCCCCAGGTGCCCTTGGAGCCCCGTTCCTGAAGGTGAGTGGTGTGGGAGGCAGTAGTGTTGTTACTGAGCAACTACTGACTGCAGGGCAGTGATGGAAAGGCAGGTGACACCTGCCCGTGTCGATGCCCCTAACTTCCCCTTGTCCCCTTGACTCCAGTGGGCCTCAAAGAATGTGGTGAGCACAGTGCAGCCCTCAACGGGGAGTAAGCTTTCTCATGGCATGTGGGTGGGGAAGCTGTGCCCTCAGTGTCAGTGGCAGCCCTACCAGCCTTGGGATAGGGGAAGTTCAACAGATGAAAGAGGAGTACCCTGCGGGGGCAACAGGGTGGAATAGGACGCCCGGCTTTGGCTGCTCTTTCTGCGCTGGAGAACTCCGGGCCTGCTTGTGTGCGGGGAAGGCGTCCTCTTCCTGTCTGCCTCCTCCCAGCTTCCGCACTTGCGTCCGTGCTTGGTGGGCTGTGGAGGGCAAAGTGCGGTAGAGCTGCTCCCGCTTGTCTGAGGAAGAGAGTCGGATCTGGGTCCGGCAAAAGCTAGAGGTTCCAGAGAAACCGATTCCTCAGCACTGGTGGGGCTCCAGCATTGAAATCTCCACTAGGTCCCGCAGGGGACGGAGGGCCGCAGGTGGGCAGTCCTGGGACCTGGAGGCGGGAGGCTGGTGTGCAGCCAGTGCGCCGCCCACGGGAGCGGGACAGCCTTCCGGTCCCGGGCCGGCCCTTCCTCCACCGCGCTCTCAGCGAGGGAACGGGTCGGGCTGGGTGCTGGCACGACAAAGACCCAGCGCGGCCAAGGTCACCCGCGACGCGGGGCCCAGGGGTCGGGCTCAGGCTGTCAGCCAGGACCCGCCCCCGCCGGGCTCCTCCCCCGGCGCCGCGGGCCAGGGCGCAGAGGCGGAAGTGGGGGCCACCAATGAGCGGCGCGAGGCGTCGGGGCGTGTCAAAGGGAGGGCCTTCCCCAATGGCGTTGGCCCCGGCTGTGGGCGCTGTCCAATGAGGCCCGCGGGAAGGTAGGGTCAAAGAGAAAGTCCTCCAATCAGCACGGCAAGCCATGCTCCCCTGCCATAGGTGGGGCCGCCAGGCGCGGGGCGGGTCTGAGCGGGCCTCCCCCAATGGGCGGCGGCAGGTGGGCGTGGCCGCAGCGCGAAGGCCGGCGGCGGGCGGTGGCCGCAGTTCACGGCGCGCGCTGGCTCCGGCGGCCGCTCTGCAGCATGGCCGGGCTGGGGCGGCCGGGCCCGGGGCCTCGCTCCGCGCTGCCCGCCTGGAAGCGCGAGATCCTGGAGAGGAAGCGGGCTAAGCTGGCCGCCCTGAGCGGGGTCGCGGGCCCAGCGTCGGCGGCCGGGGCGGGGGCTGAGGCGGGCGCGGCGGGGCCCGCAGGGCCGGCGGCCGAGCGGCTGGTGCTGGCGGACAGCCTGGGCCCGCTGCGCGAGAACCCGTTCATGCGGCTCGAGTCGGAGCGGCGGCGCGGGGCGCAGCGCGGCGCGGGCGCGGGCGCGGCGGGGGCGCGGCCGGTTCAGCAGCTGCTGGAGCTGTACTGCCGCGTGCCGGGCGTGCGCACCATCCGCGCCGACAACATCCTCATCATCGAGTCGGCGCCCGACTTCCCGCCCGCCGCCCCCGGCCCCGGCCCCGGCCCCGCCGCCCACATTCGCGCCGCCGAGGTCCTGGTGTACGAGGCGCCCCCGCCGCCCGGGCGCGTCAGCCGCCTGCTCCAAAAGTTCGACCCGCCGGCCCCGCCGCGCCGCCGGGAGAGCCCGGAGCGCGGTCGGCCCCCCCCGCCGCCGCCCGCCGACCCCGCGGCCGACCCGCGCGTGGGCGAGCGCGCCGCCTGCCTCGAGCCCGAGCGCCGCGGTGCGGGCCCCGGGACCCGGCGCAGCGACTTCCTGCAGAAGACCGGCAGCAACTCTTTCACCGTCCACCCCCGGGGTCTGCATCGCGCCGCGGTCGCTCGCCCGCCCCTCAATGGGCCTGCGGCCCCCGAGACCCGGGCCGGCGCTGCCAACGGCCTCGCGGGCTCTGCGCCCGCGCCGGGCGAGTGGAAGCCAAAGGTGGAGTCGGGGGATCTCCCCGCCTGCCCGCCCCTCAGCCCTAGGACCCCCAGTGCCACTCCAGCCGCGGCCCCGGCCTTGCCCACGCCCAGCCCTGCCAGTGCCACTCCCAGCCAGCGCCAGTGGGTCTCTGCGGCCACCAGCGCCAACGACTCCTTCGAGATACGACCGGCCTCCAAACCGGACATGGACGTGATTCCCACCGGGGACATTCAAGCCCGGGCTCTGGCCAGCCTCCGTTTGAACTCCCGCAACTCGTTCGTGTTCATCCCCAAGCACAAGGTCTCTGGGGCCCCTCCTACAGAAAGAAGGTACACTGTGGGCCTGCCGGAGGGAGAGATTGGCTGGGTCTCCCAGCGTGTGGAGCGTGAAGCCCAGCTGGTGTCAGAAGTGGATGGCACACCTGGCCATGGAAGGAGCCCCTTGGGGGTTGAGGAGGGGGGCTGCCCCAGGCCAGCCACTGCCCTCCTGGACCAGGCCATTAGGTGGCAGAGGGCGTCCTCACCACCCCCATCCCCACCAGTGGCCACCGAAGCTGAGCCTGCCCAGGGCTTTGGGGTTCCCGGCTTGGCCAAGAATGGCAGGAAGCATGGGAGGCCAGGGCTGCCCATCACCTTCATCGATGAGGTGGACTCAGAGAATGAGGTCTCCCAAGAAGCCAAACTGCCCTGCTCTGGGGCCGGTGCACCTCCCTGGTACCACTCCCGCCCGGCCAGGCCTGGGCACCCGTCAGAGCTCCAGCACCGAGGTGGCAACACTTTCACGGTGGTGCCCAGGAGAAGGCCAGGGGCCCTGCAAGCCAACAGGGAGCCTGTGCCACTGGAGGCAGAGAAAGAGGAGGTGGGTAGCCTCTCAGAGCCCCCTGCTGTCCAGGGAACTGCACTGAAGAAACGCTACCCCACTGTGCATGAGATCGAGGTGATTGGCGGCTACCTGGCCCTGCAGAAGTCTTGCCTCACCAAGGCTGGCTCCTCAAGAAAGAAGGTCAGTGGTGGGGGCAGGGTCACTGGCCGGGAGGAGAGAGGTGATGGGTCACACAGCTGAGGGTATAGTATGTGCCCTGTTCCCAGGACAACTGGCCTGGGCAAGGGGTGGTTTCTACATGGCCTGGAGGTGAGATGGGGCTCAGTGGCTCTGCAGGCTCCAGGAGGGGCTGAGCTGGGGGGAATCCCTGGCCTGGGCCCCAGAGAAGCTCCGATAAACTAGGGGCCATGGGGACGGCTTGCCTACTCTATGTCGAAAGGCTGTTGGGGATGGTCAGCCCAGCCAGCACTGTGGCTGCCTGTTGGTCCGTGCAGTTCCGTTTGGAATTGGCTGGGCAGGCCTGACCCATTGTGGGTCTAGCTGGGAGAAGTTCTCTTGGGCCTGGTAGCTCTGTCCTGGCCCTGGTTTGAGAGAGTAGTCTGGTGTGGTCTCCTGGAGTCCTGGCTTATGGGTGTAGCAGGTGCCAGGATGAAGTGCAAAGAGGCAGGAGGCCTGTGATTCTGGTGGGGTCGGATCCCTGCCTTGCTGTTAGCTTGTGGGCGCAGCACAGGGAGCCATTCGGAAGGGGCTGTCAACTCCCCAGAAGGTCTGCTGGCTGAAGCTCAACCGGACCTGGCCTCGGGCAAGTGATTATTGAGTTCCTGGTGTGTGTCAGGCCTAGTCTGAGCCTGGGGTGTGATGCTGGGGAACAATGAAGAGGCCCCCTCACTGGGGAGGAGGGGCCTAGGGCAGAGAGGGACCCAGGTGCAGGGCCAGGAGTCCTGTGGGAGCCTCACTCTCTGGGCAGCCCTGCCTGGTGGCCTGGAACTCTCTGAACACAAGAAAACGTTCTTCAGATTCTTCCTGGTCAGTCTAGCTCCTGTGTCTGGCCCTGGGGCAAATTCCAAGGCCAGCCCCACATGACCCCATCAGCAGCTGCAGGGCAGATGCGCCTTTCCCTGGAACTGAGATGGCACTTAGCAGGCTTCTCCTTTGGCTGCTGGTGTCTAGGCTGGCCCCTGGGGCCATCTCTGCCCCCAACCTCAGTTGCCTTGGGGTGATGGGGATGGTGATGTGACTCGAGTCAAACCTAAGCACCCTCACCATTGCCTTGCTGGTTCAGTCTCATCAGATGCACCACCTCCTTCCTCTGTTTGCTTCCTTTCCACCTTCTGCCTCGGTTGGCCTTGGTACAGTCCCTCCCTGTGTCATCCTTCTCTTTGGGTAAGGGCATGAGCACTCCTGCCAGCTCCATCTGCCGGCTCAGACATCCGTGCCTGTCTCCCACAGTGCTTCCGGTGGGCCCCCCACCCTTCCCGTGTGCCTAACCTTGCCTCACCCTTTTTTCTGTGACACAGGCCATGACTCTCCCACCCTTGCCCCTGCCCTTTCCCTTGGAGGTGTGGTCCACCCAGCAGCCTGGCTGCCGCCTCCACCCCCCTTGTCTTCTCGTCCCTCTCCTGCTTCCTGACCCTTGACCCTGGCCACCGTGGGAGGTGGTCCTTTCCCATGTTGGCCCAAGAAGTGGAGGTGATAACAGCTCCCTGCCTCGTGGATGAGGAAGCTGAGGCTGGCAGAGGCCATGGAGCTTATGGGGCAGAAACTGAGTGCAGGGTTCTGTTCTAGAGCCCTGGCCTTAATGTGGCTATCCTTCTACCCTGAGCCTGGCTCTCCTGGGGCTGGAGAGTTGCAGCCTAGAGCCTGGTCATCCCCCCCTAGCTGGGGACGGGGTCACTAGTGGCAGTGGGTGGGGCCATAGGGCAGGAAAAAGTGACAAGAAGAAGCCAACCCCAGCCTGGAGGGAGAGGGACTCAGATCAGCATGAGGGAGTTGGGGGTCCAGATGGATGACGCCTGGCATGGCCAAGTGGCCTGGCTAGGGCCCTGCCAGAGCAGCACGACGCGCTGGCAATGACTTCCTGCCTGGACATGTGCCAGCTGCCCTGCCCAGGGAGAGCCGGAAAGCCTGTTGGTGGAACTGAGGTCTGGGGCTGCCCAGCTTTTCAGAGCAGCTTGCTGGCCTCGGACTGCCCCCTGTGTTCTGCCCCTTCCCTGTTGTCCCTCCTGTCTGTGGCCCCTGGGCATTCCTCCTGCTGCTTCTCCAGGCCCTGGGCCACTGCGCCTCATCCTTACCCAGATCACTCCAGCCAGCCTGTGGTTTGTGTCACTGTCTTGCTCCCCCCAACCCCGGCTGAGGATGTGATGGGCTGGAGGCTCACGTTGACCCCTGTATGGCTGACTGACCGGGGGCAGTGGTGGGAGGTGCTGGTGCTTTTTCTGGGGGGCCATGTGAGGTTCAGCTCTGCAGGGGGCTGTCTGGGCAGCAGAGGTCGAGGGAGCCTGCCCCTGGGTTGGCACTTCAGTAGAGGCTGTTATGCCCTCGTCTGGCCTTAGAGGGCTACAGACCTGCCCTGTGTGGTGGGGGCGCCCGCCATGTAACTGGGAGGCCTGCCTGGTGGGTACCTGTCCCTGTCCCCACTTAGTTATCTTTTGGCAGAATGGCAGATGTCCTTTCTCTCCCTCTCTCCCTGGAGGGCCAACCTGGGGCTGGCTGCTGCAAGGTGTTGGGCCACGCCCCCTCACCCCTGCCGCTGCCCCAGGGTTCCTGTGGGTGGGGCTGTCAGCAGCTGCCCACACCACCTCCCCTGCTTGGTGCTGAGCACCTCTCCCTTTTGTGAGGTGCCACCTGGACTCTTGCCTGTCTGGCGGCTCCTTCCCCTCCCCTTTCCCCTCCTTACTCTCTTACCTACCAGTCCTTTGCCCAGTCTGAGCATATCAGCGTGCCCAGGGCTCAATCCTCGACACCCTGGGCCATCCACCCTCACCTGCGGTGCAGTCGCCACTCCAGCACCCCAACTTTGCTGGCCCAGCCTTGGCCTTTAGCCTCACTCCGGTCTTCAGACCTTTGGGGCTCCTGCCGTTGGGGGCCTGCTCCCCACCAGTTCTTCCTAATGAGGCTGTCTCCTTACTAGCGTGGAGCGCCACACCCACTGCCATGCGGGGTGGGGTACCAGGCTTCTTGAGGTGCTGCGGCTACATTCCTGTCCTCCGGCCTGCTTTCCCGCCCTCCCTGCTTCCCCCCTGGCATAGGGTCTGCCCTGGGTTAGGGGCTGCAGTTGACTCAGGGTGTCCCACCTGGGCAGCTGTGGGAACTTTGGTGGGGGCTGTGTGGTGGTCCTGTTGCCCCTTGGAACTCGAGCTGAGTGAGGGATGGGAGTGGGCACATGTGTGCTGGGGAGTGAGGGACACAGCGGGGTGCTCACCCCCAGCCAGGGCTGGCCTGCTTGGCCCAGAGTCCAGGGTGGACACCCTTCAGTAACCCGAGCTGGGTGTGCATGGGTGGGGCGAGGTGAGAGGGAACAAAGGGCCTGTGAGAGCCGGGAGGTGGGCCGGGCCGGGACCCACCTGCTGCTGCTTTCCGGTGCAGCGGGCAAAGTCCCCAAGAGCCAGGTGACCAGGTGTGTGCAAGTGCCAGCCCCGGGCCACGCCCCTCCAACCCGTCCGATCTGCCTGGGTCTGGAGGCTGGCCCCCCAGCAGCGTGAGTCATGGGGCGTCCTGTGACCCACAGACCTGCACCCACGAGGAGGGAGGCTTGTGAGAACTGCCCTGCCGCCTGGCCAGGCTGTGCCAGGCTCGGTGCCTGCGTGCGCCCAGCCCCCTCAGTCTCCCTGCTGGGAGCTAGTCATGTGGACTAATGAGGGCACGCTAATCCAGCCAGGCCCTGGCAGCTGGCCCTTCCCGTATCTTCAGTAGTGGGGGATGGGCCCAGAAAGCTCAGGGTCGTCAGGGCAACACCATGTACCCAGGGGTGACTGGGAGCCCAGTTCACTGTGGGGCCTTGGGACAGGAGGGTGCCCCTGGGCTGGTAGCCCTATCCTGCCTTGGGCTCCTCTTGGGGTATCTGTCCCTGAATCCCAGAGGGCCAGTCCTGGAGAGCTAGGCAACTCCATCCCCGAACTGGTTGGCAGTGAGTGGGCACCTGTGGGTTCTGGTAGTCACCCCCCTATGACACTCTCTGTCCTGTTGGCCTCCTGGAGCAGGGCAGCTGGAGGTTTGGGGGGGCTGCCAGGGAATAAGTAAGGTGAGGTATAGTATGCCTTTGAGTGACAGGAGCAAACATCTCACTCCTGATTGGCTGACTCAGGTGGTCTGCTCAGGTCCCTGACTGCTTGGCTGTGCAGACAGCTGGGGAAAGGGGGGCTGGGACGAGGCGGCCGGGACTAGGCCAGCAGCTTGCCCGGCAGGTGACTGTATGTGAGCCGTGCTGAGATGGGAGAGATCAGGAGCTTGGTGGGTGGGTAGGGGTGCCCACGCTGGGCTGCATGTGCAGGTGTGGCTGTGGGAGGAGAGGGGCAGGAGCAGGTGCCCTTGTTTCTGGACCCTGGCTCAGCAGGACAGTGCCTCCCACTCTTGGTGGGTCCTGCATGTGTCCTCCGAGGCCAGTGCCAGGGTCCCTCTGCTGCCCCAGGCTGCAAGCCCTGCCCTCCTATGTGGCCCCTCCTCATCCTGCTGTCCCTGGGCCCCATGGTTCTCTGCCTGGGGGCCTGGCTTCCTGCCTCTGGCTCCTTCCAGGGGAGGAGGAGGAACTTGAGCTGGCCGCTGGTGTCCTGTGCCCAGGAGTTTAATATTTCGAGATCCAGCAGGGCTGCTCCCATCTGCTGCAGGCGGGTGGCTCTCGTATTCATTACCGACCCGTTGGGCCCAGCCGAGCCCTGCTGAGTAGGCCTGGGGGGCATGCGGCTCTTGTGGGGAGCCAAGTCCCTGGTTGGGGAGGGCGAGGATCCTGACCCTGAGTGTCTCAGCCCTTCTGCTGATGCTTTCCCCACTGCCCATCAGGACCACCAGCCTAGCCTGGGCTCTGAGGCTGCTGGAAGACGGAAGGAATTTGCTTGGGCGTGAGATCTTGAAGTCTGCAGAATGGGCAGGGTGGATGAGGGCCAGAGGGCTGCCTGGGTGGGAGAAAAGGGTCGGTGACCCCCACTCGGTGCAGCCTTGGACCAACGCTGACTCAGTTTGTAAAGGGGGTGACAGCACTTGGTGCCACCTTCCTGGTGCTGGCACATAGCAGCTACCCAGCTTTGGCACCTTGTGGGCCCTTAGGGGACCTTGAGGGCCTGGCCTTGGGTGTGCCAGGCCCTTGACCAGCAGTGGTGGTCCATACTGAGCTGGGTGAGCAGAGTTGTGCAGGTGCCCAGCAAGCCAAGATGTTGTAAACTCGGTTCTGGAGAAAGGCCCCTCTGAGGATGTAGCCGCCCCCCCCCCCCCAAGGATGTGGGCCCCCATGTTCAGTCTCTCTTGGACCCTGCTCCGGCCATGAAGCCACTAAGTGGGAGGAGATGTGGCTGGTGCTCTGTTTCCTTGAGAAGGCAGCCCTCTGACCCTTGGAGCTGCCTTAGAGGCTTCTGGAGACCCCAAGACTTGGGGCTTCTCGTGCTGGCTGGGGTCTGGTCCCTGGGAGGGGTGGGTCACTTGGGGTGATCTGATCCTGGGCCTGGGGTGTGGGTAGGGGACAGGTGGTGGAGAGGGGATGGGTGGGGCCTGGGTGCAGGGGTTTGGACACACTGGCCCTGGGTCTGCCGTGGGCAGCCAGACCCAGCCCTCCTTGGGTCCCTGTGGCCTGGTCCTGAAGGGTCCAGATGGAGAGGTTGTCTCTGAGGAGGGGCGCCCCACCTCTCAGAGCCTCTGAAGGGCTGATGGTGTGTTCTGCTACCTGCTCGGGGCTGACGCCCTTCACTGTGCCCCTCAAGGTCCCTGCACTGGCTCGGTCTGGCTAGAGGAGCCCTGGCGGCCAGGCAGCAGGGCCCTTGCTGACATGCCTTCTGCCCCTAGATGAAGATCTCCTTCAACGACAAGAGCCTGCAGACCACATTTGAGTACCCTTCCGAGAGCTCTCTGGTGCAGGAGGCGGAAGCTGAGGAGGAGGAGGAGGAAGAGGAGGAAGAAGGGGAGGAGGAGGAAGAGGAGGAGGAAGGGTCAGGCTCAGAGGAGGTGGTGGAGAAGCCTTTTGCACTCTTCCTGCCCCGAGCCACATTCGTGAACAGCGTGGGGCCCGAGAGCCCTCGGCTGCCGGACAGCAGCTCAGGTGAGTGCCCACCTGCTGGAATGGGCAGCCTTGTGTGTAGCCTGGGCCACATGTCCGCGCATCCACACGTCCACGCGTGTACCCCTCGGTCCGCAGGGCTGTCCAGCTACACTCCAAAGCACACCATGGCCTTCAGCAAGTGGCAGGAGCAGACACTGGAGCAGGCCCCCAGGGAGGTGGAACCCGCGCTGAAGGAGGTCATGGTGAGCCAGGGCAGGGTGGGTGGATGCCCAGGGTGCAGGTCTGGGTGGGGGTGGTCTCTAAGGCCTGGATGAGCCCCATTGGCTGTCTCTGTGCCCTCTCTCAGCTCACCCCCGCCAGTCAGAACGACCTCTCGGACTTCCGCAGCGAGCCAGCCCTCTATTTCTGACCCCGGCTCTGCCAGGACGGCCAAGGCTGAAACCCAGGAGCTCTGCACCCCTCTTCTGCCCTGCTGGGCTCTGTGCCCCATATTGCACCCTCCCTTCTTGGGGCCTCACAGCCATGCTGGTACTCAGGGCCTGAGCCTGGAGCACCTGGGGCTCCTCTTTCTCTTGGGGCCGTCTGGGTCTTGCTCTCTGGCCCTGGTTTGGGGGCGCTGCCTGTGGAAGAGGGATGGGGTCCTGGCAGATGCTTTGCCCAGCAGCTGCCAAGCGTGTCTGAGGTGAAGAGCTGGCCTGGCTGCCTGTCTCCTGCAGGACTCCAAGCCCCCTCAGCCCACACTCCTTATGGCAGAGCTCAGCCTGCCCCCTTTGTGATGAATGGCAAGTCTTTTCTTGCCTCTGATGATGGACTCAATAAACAGCACTGGACGAGCTGCCTCTGCCTTTCTTGCATGGCCCTTGGCCTGAGAAGGGGGCGGAGAGGTGGTCACCTGCAGGAGGCCACAAGGGTGTGATGGGGCCCAACTTAGACATCTGCTCAGGTGTAGGAGGGGCCCTAGGTGGCACCCCCATCCTGGTGGTCCAGGCTCTCATTCCCTACAAGCCCACTTGTCTGGTTTCTCTCAGCTACCCTGTCGCTCGGGAGAGGGCTTCCCTGTGTCTGCCCCCACCTCTGGAGCAGCCCTCTCTCCACAGGGCTGGCACAGGGGGAGGTATCATGGAAGTTGGGACATCAGGCCTGCTCTCTGGGGTCTGGAACTCCATGTGCTCAGGGCGGCAGGCGTGGGAGTGCTGCAGCTGTTGGGTCTGAAGGGCCAAGAGTCTGGGATGGGACAAAGGTCAGGGCAGGGGGTGGGCACAGCCTCAGGGATCTTGCCTCCCATTTGGCTTAGAAAGCTCCCTGACCCACGGGAGCCTGCTGCAAGGCTGTGACAGGCAGACCGCTCCCCTGGTGTCACTACTAGTGGCTGGCCGGGAAACCCGACAGATCTGAGAGGTGATGGAAGGTGACAGGAGACGCAGAGCTGCCCACTGGGGAGCAACTGCAGGCTGACACTGGGGCCATTTGCAATCCAGGCCTCAAATGACAGTCTCTCCCTCCTGGAGAGTCAAGCCCATAAGAAATGCCACCTGGCCAGGCTTGGGAGGGAGGACAGTGTTTTCGGGGTATTTTCTTGGTAGGAGTGGACCCAGTTTTCTCCAGACTCTTCACTAACATGCTTCCCAAGTCTGCCCAGCCCACCCTGGGCAGCAGCTGCAGGAACCCCAGCAGGGCTGACAGGGCCACAGAGACAGAGCCAGAGAAGAGCCAGGATGGAGGTCTGGGCCCCAGGCCACATGGAAAGCTGGAAGTGGACACACTTGGTGTGTGGCCAGGGAGGGCGGAAGGCAGTGGTGCCATTGGGATGAGCACAGTTTGGAATCAGGGAGCTAGGGTGCAATCCTTGCTGGGGGACCTCAGCCCAGGAAGGGTGTCTCCCTGGGCCAGGCCTTATGCTGGACACCAGGGTGTGGCAGAGACCAGGATAAGGATGAACTGTGTGCTGGAGTCAGGGGAAGGGAGCCAGGGGCCCTGGTCGGGGGAGAGAGTGGACAATGATGGTCATAGGAGATCCTCAGGGGCACCCTCAACTTTGTCCTCAAGGCCAGTGAGGCTGGTCACAAGGAAAGCCACTCCAGGCTCTCCTCTCTCCCTCTCACAGAGGAGCTACACCACAGCTGATAAGAGGCTCATGTTCTGGCTCTCAGGGTGTTCGGCAGCCCCAAACTCCTGACACAAGCAGCAGGCTGGCATGGATCTTTACAAAGACAACCTTTATTAACAGTCACAGGCCACAAGGGCGAGGTCTAAGGTGAAAGAAGAGCCGCAGCTCTTCCCCCACTCACCTGGCCTGGGCACCCGCTGGCGGAGGGACAAGGTGAGGGGCCTCCCATGGTGGTGAGACTACAAGCAGGACCCTCCCCACAGCCCAGGGGGGTGTGGGGGCCTCAGAGAAGCCCTGAGTAGAGCTGGCCCATAGCTTGCCCTCCCTGCAGCCTGTGTGAGGGCAGGGCCAGGACCCCCACTGATGGCCTGTGCCCAGAGCTTTTCTTGTCACCCAGGGCCAGTGGAGGTTGGCAGCTGCCTCTCTTGGCACCCAAGACAGCGAAAGAAGACAGCTGCTGTCATGAAGAACAAAGACATTGTGAAGACAGACTTGCTGGGGGCCGAGTCGTTGATGGGTACAGTGGAGACAGGGCCCTCCCCACCTGTGGCCTCATCAGCTGTCCTTGTTGCCTCCACTGCTTTTCTGCTCAGAGGCTGTGGCTTTAGTCAGATTCCCTGCTTCCCTCTTCAGGACACTAAGCAGAGTCTGTGAGCTCTCCAGGATCTGGGAACAGAGATAGGCACAAGACAGTTCCTCCCATTGAAAAGCTCTTGTGGCCCAGCCCCCCTCACACACTGTGCCAGGGCCAGACTGTGGGGTCTATGGGACAGGAGCAGGTGAGAAAAAGCCCCTGAGGGGACAGGCGAACAGGATCAGCGGGGCCCTTTTCCCTCTGAGTCTAACCCAAAGCCCCTCCGTTGCACCCTGGGAAAGCTAGGCCATGTGAGCCCTGGCTCCTGCTGCCACTCTGCTGCTGCCCTTCTGCTGCTCATGGTACCCAGTACGGTGCAAAGAACAGGACCTACGATGCACCAGGCCCCACTGACAGCTGCGCTGTCACTCCACAGTGGGTCCGGCCACACCGCTGTCCTGTCGCCTCTGCTTGTGGGCAGCCTCAGGCCAAAAACCACCTAGGGACTCCCCGAGCCCCACCTTGAGGTAGGCGGCCTCCGTCTCTGCGATGGTCCGGTCAAACTCGTTGCGAGAGGCGATCTTGCGTGCCAGGTTCTCGTTGACTCGGGCCAGCTTCTCTGTCAACTGTCTCACTTCGTTCTGCAGCCGCTGCTTCTCGTCCTCCTCCTGCTGGATCTGCCGGCACAACTCGTCCCGCTTCTGGCACAGGTCCTCGATGCCTAGGGTGGGTGGGGAGGCGCAGGCGCTGTGGGCCCAGGGCAGGAAGGAGCACCACCCCTCCCAGTCTGAAGCCCACCGCTTTGTAACACAGAAGGGTGGTGGCGGGCCCGGATGCCAGCAGAGTCACCTTCCGCCCGGCCCGGCCAGTGTCCACCTCCAGGGTCTCAGGGTTAAACAAGGCACCGCACGAGACCGCCGCGGGGCCGGGGACAGCGCATGCTCAAGCCCTCCGTCCTCCTGCTCGCCCCACAGATATCCAGCCCTCGGCTACGCCACACTCTGGCCGCGCGCGGGGCAGGTCCGCACGGCCTCCGCGCCACCCGGCTGGACACGTACGCACCGGCCGCGCGCTGCGGGCCGTCCCGCCTGGGCCTGCGGGCCGCCAAGCCCCGCGCCCTCCCGCTGCCCGGGGGCCCGCCGCGCGGCCGCTCACACTTGACCAACTCGTTGTTGTAATTCTGCAGCGCCGCGCCCTGCTGGGTCATGGTAGCCGCCCGGGCTCGGCCGCGCCAACCGCCGCTACAGCATCGCCGCCCGCGCCTGCGCACTGCCTCCCGACGGCGTGCCCGCCACAAGACACCGCCGCGCGCCTTGTGTGCATCATCGCCGTGCGCGCCCAACCCTGCGTCAACTCCGCGCGCCGGGCCGGCGGCTCTGGGGGCAGATGGCGGCGGCGGCGGCGGCGGCGGCGGAGGGGTGCGGCGACCCCGGGCCTGCGCAGGAGCTGCTGGTGGCCTGGAATACCGTGAGCACCGGGCTAGTGCCGCCGGCCGCGCTAGGACTGGTGAGGCCCGGGAGGAGGCTTTGTTGGGGCGCCCGCCCTCGGGTCCCTGCGGCGCCATCCTCGCCCGCCCCTGTCCTGCCCCCTCCTCCACGGTCTCGCCTCGTTCGGCTCCCCGCAACCCTTCCGCGGTGTCGGGCCGGCATGCGCGCCCCGCGGACCAGGGGCAGCGGGGTTTCCACAGCCTCCCCTCCGCCCGTCCCTTCCCCACCTCTCCCCGCCTCTCCGCTGTGTTCCCTCCTTACGGTTGCCTGCACGCCAGGCGTCCTCCCGGACCAGCGGTGCGGTCCCGCCGAAGGAGGAGGAGCTGCGGGCGGCGGTGGAAGTTCTGAGGGGCCACGGTCTGCACTCAGTCCTGGAGGAGTGGTTCGTAGAGGTGCTGCAGAACGATCTACAGGCCAACATCTCCCTCGAGTTCTGGAATACCATCTCCCAGCGCGAGAACTGTGCGGACGAGCCTCAGTGCCTTCTGCTGCTCCTTGACGCTTTCGGCCTGCTGGAGAGCCGTCTGGATCCCTACCTGCATAGCCTAGAGCTCCTGGAGAAATGGACTCGCCTGGGCTTGCTGATGGGCACCGGCGCTCAGGGGCTTCGGGAAAAAGTCCACACCACGTTGCGGGGCGTCCTGTTCTTTTCCACTCCCAGAACCTTTCAGGAGATGATCCAGCGCCTCTATGGGCGCTTCTTGAGAGTCTATATGCAGAGTAAGAGAAAGGGAGAAGGGGGCACAGACCCGGAACTGGAGGGGGAATTGGACAGCAGGTATGCCCGACGCCGGTACTACCGGCTTCTGCAGAGCCCGCTGTGTGCGGGATGTGGCAGTGACAAGCAGCAATGCTGGTGCCGCCAGGCGCTGGAGCAGTTCCATCAGCTGAGCCAGGTCCTGTGAGTACTCACACTTGTGTGGTCTTGCCCTTGTCCCTCCTGACTCCCACTTGCTCCCCTGTGTCCAGCTAGTCTCTGCAGAGAGCTGGTAAGCTGGCTGGGGGTCCCTGCCACCTGTCCTGGTAGCCACAGACATGACAGAGGGAGGGTCCCCAGGATCCCTGTGCTGCAGGTTTGCGCCTTTTGTTTTGGATGCAGGTGTGTCTCTCTCTCACTCACGCTAGCCCAGGGTTCCATGCTTTGCTTACGCTAAGATCTTGTGTGAGTCCAAGCTTCCTGGGCTACACAGAATTCTGCCGTACCTTCTGTAGGCTAACTAGGGGAGAAGTGATGTTCATCCTACCCTGTAACTGCAAAAGGTGGGCTTGTTGCTTTTCCTCTCCAGAATGAGTTGGAGATTAGGCCGACATGCTGGGCAAGTGATTGCCTTCTCAACCTTTTGAAGAGGGAAGGCTTTTGTTGTTGTTGTTAGCACTAGGTTTTTATTGCACGGGTCCTCCACTCTCTGTGGCCACGTAAGACAATTTTGTCACTTTGAGTGCAGTGGTGGCAGTGCAACTGCCAAGGGAGTGGTCCTGTTGCTGGCAGGGGCCAGGGAGGCCCTGAAGGGCTTCTGTTGGGTTCATTCCAGATGAAAGTTACCTAGAAAGGTTCTTTTTCATCTCTTCTTGCATCCCTTTCTTATTGTAGATGAGGGTCTGTGCTGAAAAGCAGACACAGCAGTATCTATATTTAAGTGGCCAGAGAAGGGATGTATTAAGCTGTTGTTTCACAGCCATTTCTAGATGAGGCTTTGGTCCTTGGTAGCCATATACGCAGCTCACCTGGGGAAGGCCAGTGCCCTGGCCCGGGCAGACAGGCCCGCTGAGGAGGGAGGGTAGTGCCTTGTCCGTGCTCCGTCCTCCCAGGGACTTTTCCTCGAAGCCCTTGGCACACTTGTGCCCCCTACCAGGAGGGCTGTGGAGAGGTGTGCACTGGATGTGCGCTGCATGCTCACAGGCAGGACTCTCCTCCAGACACAGGCTCAGTCTGCTGGAGCGGGTCAGTGCTGAGGCCGTGACCACCACCTTGCACCAGGTGACGCGGGAGCGGATGGAGGACCGCTGCCGGGGCGAGTACGAACGCTCCTTCCTGCGTGAGTTCCACAAGGTGAGGCCGCTCCCTCGGGCCAGGTCCATTTGGACTGGAGGATAGGCTTCTGGCAAACCCAACACTCTGGCTTCAGAAGCGGCCAGAGAATGGAGACCTCACTGGCGGCTGAAGCTGTCTTGGTGCTGGGTGGAGGCCAGTTTTTCTGGGCCCACCCTGGTGACAGTGAGGAAGAGCCTGTGACATGCTCAGCGAGGTCTGTGCACAGTCCCATGGCTGCAGGCAGTGCCAAGGTCTGGGGTGTCCCACTGAGGGGCCTCGGGGTGCCCATGCTGTTAGAGTGTGGTCTGGGGCTCTGCTCTGGGCTCCCCAGAGTCATGGAGGAGCTGGGTCCAGCCTCGGCCCATCCAGCCTGCTCCCCTTCCCCCTTGTGTTTCTCTGCTGTTTCCTAGTGTTCACCTCCCGAGGATGCAGATTAGCTGCGACAGAGAATTCAAAGCAAGTGTCCCTCCTTGTAACAGTGGTCTGAAGTGGGTGGGAGCCTAGAGGCTTGGTTGGGGCAGCTGTGCTACCCCCAGGTGGCAGTGTCCAGGTGGTCTCATTGGTGGTTGGATGGTCTGTGGGGGGACGTATGCGTCCTCAGGTCCATGTGGCAGTATCTCCTGTAGATTTACGTGTGTGCGTTTGAAATGTTCTCAGTATACGCTGTGTTGTCTGCACGTGGGGGGCTGGTTGTGTACTTGGCCCCAGGGCAAGTCTGTCCGCTCAGGTGGAGGCGAGCACATTCTCAGTGCCCTGCGTCAGGGTCGCTGTAGCCAGAGACAAGTGTGGGCACTGATGCACTTGGAGGGGTGTGGGGGTGCATTGATGGAGGGCCTGGGACTCCTCCTTTGGTCTCCTCATCCTGCTGATTGGCATGTGCTCCTGGCCTCCAGAGCAGGTGGCCTTGGGGAATCCCCTGGGCCTGGCCAGCAGGGTAGGTAGCTGTGGGCTTCTCCCAGCCTCTCTTCTGGATCAGGCTGGGGCTCAGCCCCCACCATCCGACACCTGTGCTCTCCCGACAGTGGATCGAGAGGGTGGTTGGCTGGCTGGGCAAGGTGTTCCTGCAGGACAGCCCCGCCAGGCCTGCATCCCCTGAGGCTGGCAACACGCTGCGCCGCTGGCGCTGCCACGTGCAGAGGTTCTTCTACCGCGTCTATGCCAGCCTCCGCATCGAGGAGCTCTTCAGCATCATCCGAGGTCGGCCCCCACACACCTGCCTTCCTTGTGCCTGTGCCCTTCAGCTCCGTGGGTGGGGAGGGACACTTGGGGCTGTGCTGTCTGAGTGTATCCTGGTGTGGCTCATCCCAACCCACTGTCGGGATCAGGTGTGAAATGGTGCCTGATGGTGCTTCTGGGTGTCTACCCCTGTCCCTCAGCCTCACTTCCCTGCTCTGGACTGGCCTGTGAGCGTTGTTCTGTCCCTCTGCCCTCTAGGCAGTTGTGGTCAAGTGTGTGGGCATGTGAAGGTGCAAGGGCAACGTGTGGCACCTGCAGGTGTCAGTCCTGGTTGTCAGACGTAGGTGTGGCTGCTCGACGTTTGGCTGGCTGCCTCCGTGTCCTCTCTCATACCCACAGTGAGTGTGCACCATGGATGTGTTTGCAAGCCCTGACCCTCTTCCTGCAGACTTCCCGGACTCTCGGCCAGCTGTCGAGGACCTCAAGTACTGCCTGGAAAGAACTGACCAGAGGCAGCAGCTGCTCGTGTCCCTCAAGGCCGCCCTGGAGACGCGTCTCCTCCACCCAGGTGCCTTGGGCTCTGCCCACCCACTGTTGAGCCCTGGGAGCCAGACCCCGGAGCCTCAGGGTCCAACCTGCCAGCCTGCAGGGCCTAGGCAGGAAGCGGGTTAAGGAAAAGCCTTGTGCAGTCTTCAGGGGAGGCTGGGGACCCTCTGCTTCACCCTCCTTTGAAGGGAGTCGTGGGAACTGACAGGTTTGGCCTGGGCGTGGAGGCAGTGCATGATCCCCCCAGAATGAACTGCCTGCTAAGAGGGGGCTTGGATCTTGGAAAGTTCTGGAGAAAGCATGTGTGAGTGGGTGTAGGTGGGGGGAGAAGGGGGCAGCTCCTGCAGGTCGCGCCGGTCTAGGGAGTGAGGTCCAGTGGCAACCTGAGGACCACCTGACCAGTGTGCAGCTGCTCAATGTCCCTGTGTTGTCCTGGGTGCCACTGTGACCCTGTCTCTTTCTCCTGACCCTAGGTGTCAACACGTGTGACATCATCACTCTCTACATCTCCGCCATCAAGGCACTCCGGGTGCTGGACCCCTCCATGGTCGTCCTGGAGGTGGCATGTGAGCCCATCCGCCGCTACCTGAGGTGGGTGTCACGCTGGCTCCAGGAGCTGCTCAGACTTGGGGGAGCTGAGCTCCCTGTGGGGGCAGTGCAGCTGGGGATGTGGCCCTTGGGACACCAGGGCCACTCCGTCCCTCCTGCTGGGCCGAGGGGCCTCGCCTTTCCTCTTACTGACGCCAGTTCCTGTCCCTGTCACTCATTGTCACCATGCCTGTGTGCAGGCGCTGGGGGCCCCGCTTGGCAGCCCAGCAGAGAGGTGCCCCTGCTCAGTTTTGCCTTGCACTGACCAGGCCCCCAGGCTAGCTGGGGAGGAGTGGGGCCCTTGCTCAGCCTTTCCCATAATGAGGAACAGAGACTCAGGCTGTCTGCGGGAGAACGTGTTGGAGCCACTGCCGTGGCACAGCTACCCAGAGACCTGGGGGAGCTGGGAGCATCTGGAGCTGCTCTGACTGGTATCTGCTGTCTCTCAGCCATGAACAGCCTGGCTTTATGTCTGTCTTGTC